GTTTAATAGTTTCTAAAAATTTTAAAAAAAATTTATCAGTATAAACGTTTGTTACATTAATTATGCATACCATATATTATTTGAATAAAATAAAAATCCTTAATTTTAAAATTATTTTTTTGTCCAGTCCATGAATTGTTATGTTAACATTCCTCCCCCAAACTATTTGTAAAAATTTTTTGGAACACCCCTGTCACATATTGTTTGTAGGTATTTCCTCCCTGTTCCATTCCATATAAAATTATAATAATAATAAAGGTTATGTTTAATAAAAAACAAGCAATTTATCATTAAATTTGTGTATCTTAAACTCTAAGTGACTTACCAGTAAGTATTTTTTTAAAATATAAACACTTAAACAGTAAATCACACAATATAATTAAAAAAGCTAGACGAAAATGTAAACTAAAGCTTTACATGTAACGAATTAATTTTGTGCACTGCCAGAGGCTATTTGCTGCCAACCGCATATTTAGATGTGCTGCCAACTTAACAATTTAAAATATTTCATATATATATATGTATATATATATATATTAGGGTGTCCCTTATTTTTATTTTTTTTACGCATACCCTCTAATTATATTTATTACTTGTTTATATACTCCCAGTAAAAATTTCAGCTCATTCTATAAACGGGAACCCGTGCCGACTTGCATCTGAACCCTCCGTTAGCCAACGTTAGGCGCGCGGTATTTCGAAACAAGAAGATATACTTCATGACTGTATTTTTCTAATGATTTTATTAAATATGATTACTAATTAATATTATTGCTTTTGTTTCTATCATTTGTTTCACTAATTTAGTTGATTTTATCCCTTAAATATATTAATATAATTAGTATTGCTAAAATATACTGTTATGTGAAATTTCAGCTTTTTATAAGCATTTCTTTTCTTGGTGTCCACCCAAAAATATTTCAGACAGTTCAATAAGTTTTCGGTAGTCATCTCTCATAATAGACTCTTTTATTTATTTAGAGTAAAACCCATTAAGTTTATCAATTTTAGAGTTTACGGCCTATTCACCAGACCCTTCCGGGTAACTAGCCACTCCCTGTGAAAATATACATTTTTATCAAAGTATACACATAAATAAAACTATATTTTAACATTTGTCAATAATTTATAATATAAGGGTCACATAATAACAAACACAAAATGACTTACGATCGAAGACCTCGCGACCAACCGTGTTACAAAATACCGCGCGACTAACGTTCAGATGCAAGTCGGCACGGGTTCCCGTTTATAGAATGAGCTGAAATTTGTACTGGGAGTATATAAACACGTAATAAATATAATTAGAGGGTATGCGTAAAAAAAATAAAAATAAGGGACACCCTAATATATATATATACCTATATATAGGTCTGTTCCTACTAAACATTTGGACTGTCGAATGGACGTCAAGCATGCGTATTAGTAAAATCGAATTACCACATCAACAGTTGTTTAAACAAATGTTTTTATTGGCGCAAATATTGCTTTAAAAAAAGGAATCCTCTTAACTTCCCAGAGAATTACCACAGCAACATCCCACATGGGACTTTCTTGAGATTTTATGAGGAAGTCCCTGGGAGTTCACAAAATCCCGGGAGTTAGAATGCCGACTGGGTTGGAAATATAATATAATATAATAACATTTCCAAGAGTTCATCGTTATTAAAATGAATAAACTTTAATTATGTTTAGTACAAGAAAAGGAATTTAAAAGAATAAAAAAATACCAAAAAAAGTTTCTTAAAATAAAACATGATTGACATATTTATTTTCTGTTAAAAAATCCAAACCATAGATGATCATAACTTTTAACTAAAAATACTATTTTCACTTTTTATGTTTGAAACGCCAATAGAAAATTGTGTAATTTTATATAAATATAAAAACTAGTGATCTAGGGAATTTGACTAAAAAATGGAAAAGATTGGTGCTAATAACTAACTTCACACTTATTTGTGACAGCTACAGCTAGAATAATGGACAAAACTGTATCTAGTTTTAATCTTAAGCCATATCCCAACACTGGAATCCTTTTTTTCCAAATTTCAAATACCCATTCTATTATATTTCTGGTTCTTAGTAGTGACTCATTATAGAGTTGGTGACCTCTATACCTGTAACTATACTTATCTCCACGCGGTCTATAATTTAAACTTTATTGTTGTCAACATTCGATAAAGAAATACCTTGTTATGGCCTAGGCCGATACAAATTTTTATGAGGCAAGTAATTAGTTCGATTTTTTGTTTTTTCTAAGAAATTAACGTACTAAACTGATTTAATTTATTTATAATAAGCACTAATTTGTTTGTTTTACTGTTAATGTTTAATATTTTTCATTAAATTATTGTAAAATTAAATATGAATAATAAAACAAAAAGTGAGGTTAGGCAACCAAGAAAACGCACGATTCTTTTTCTACGACTTAAATTATCTTTAAGTTTAAATTTGCTTTAAATTTTCAGTGAAATTAAATGTTAAACACAGCTTAAACATTCCAAACTACCTATTTTTTAAATAAAAATCCAAACAAATTGAAATTAGATACCTACCTATTTATTAAACAATTAATTGAATTCAATGTAATAGCAAAAATCCATATCTACTTAAATCATGTTGCTAGGTATTGTTAAACTATTACTGCTTCTGAAAGCAATAATAATTATTGCACAATTAATGTAATCTTTAGCTAATAAATAAAAGATTCTAAAAAAGTGAGGTTAGGTCGCTTTGATGTTGAATTAAATTGACCTATAAGTGCTTTAAAGATAAAATGTTGTATGCCATTCGGCCAACAAGTGCCTTTTTGTGCTTCGCTCAATTGTAACCTTAAGCTTAGCACAAAAAGCCTTACTTCTTAACCTAATGACATAAATAACTATTTTCTACGACCACTATGTAAAAGTCACTTTTCATGATGGCATCGTTGCTTGGAAAATGAATCTTTTCATTGGCAAGGCAAAACACGAATGTAAAGTGACATTTCTGTGTGAAAAGTGACAGGTCTGTGTGAAAAGAAACGGAAAAAGCATCGTTTGACATTCAGCTGTCAAAAAAGTTTTTAGGTTATTTTGTTTTGTATTTAAAAATAATAAAAAATAAAAGGGTCGCAGAAAAAACTTGTGATAATTGTGAGAAAAGCTTTCTTCAAGCTCGTGTTAATGCACACTCGGCCTAACGGCCTCGTGGGCAACTTAAAAACTCGCATGAAAAAGTCGCTTTTCAACACTTATTGGATTTGCTAAAGATGTCATTAAATAATAATAATAATATTGTAACGTTTTTAACTGTTTGTAGTGTGAATTAAAAAAACGCACTGATTTATTAACGAACTAAACTATTTATTTTATAACTTAATTACACTTAAAACACTAAGAAACTATAAAACTAACTAAACACTTAACTACTTATTATTTATATATCACTAATAGTCTATTTATTTGCACTTATATTTATTTATTTCGACGCGAGTACCAAAACTGGACTAACTGCTTTATGCTGCTCCGTTCCTTATATATTTAGCGCCTACGTATTCTGGAACATTCCAGCGAGCTCCTCACTCTCGATTGTTCGAGCGCTGAGTGACCGGCGATGAGTCATCATTCCGAGATCCAGAGCCGTATATGCTACAATATCTTTGAAAAAAAGATCTTGAATACCGATGATTAGTACTTTTGAGGTTATAAATCGTTAACGGTGGATTAATAGTATATTAAAGAACTAATGTCATAAGACGTCATTTTGTCGCACGCGGACAATTTATAAAACGAGCGACGAAGGAGCGAGTTTTATAATGGACAAGTGCGACAAAAGGTCTTATGACATGAGTTATTTATGCTATTTTATCTATTTTGCAAACATTTCATAAAACAAATTAATTTTATACCTTATATTTAATTTGGTCGAATTTTACTTTACATAGTTGGTATCTCAGTTTGAAGTTTGAAAGGTCATTAACCTTTCAAACATTATCACATTCTTTCGCTATGGCGTCGTTAATTTACAATAAGTATTTACAATAAGCGGCTGTTAAAGAAGAAAAAAGGATTTTCTTTGGTGTTTAACAAAATTTATTGCACGAAAAGTCTCGTAAGTACTAGAAAACAAATCATAAAAATATTATAACCTATAGGTATTCAAAATTGTATTTTACCAGTAGCCAACCTATAAAATCAAAATTTTGGGTGGAATAAAGTACCTCATTAAAGAACCAAAAGCGGTGTTATAATGAAATCATTATGAAACCAAAATAGATAATAGTATATTAAAGAACTAATGTCATAAGACGTCATTTTGTCGCACGCGGACAATTTATAAAACGAGCGACGAAGGAGCGAGTTTTATAATGGACAAGTGCGACAAAAGGTCTTATGACATGAGTTATTTATGCTATTTTATCTATTTTGCAAACATTTCATAAAACAAATTTTATACCTTATATTTAATTTGGTGGAATTTTACTTTACATAGTTGGTATCACAATTTGAAGTTTGAAAGGTCATTAACCTTTCAAACATTATCACATTCTTTCGCTATGGCGTCGTTAATTTACAATAAGTATTTACAATAAGCGGCTGTTAAAGAAGAAAAAAGGATTTTCTTTGGTGTTTAACAAAATTTATTGCACGAAAAGTCTCGTAAGTACTAGAAAACAAATCATAAAAATATTATAACCTATAGGTATTCAAAATTGTATTTTACCAGTAGCCAACCTATAAAATCAAAATTTTGGGTGGAATAAAGTACCTCATTAAAGAACCAAAAGCGGTGTTATAATGAAGTCATTATGAAACCAAAATAGATAAAGTAATTTAAACCACCGAAATTGGGGGTTTATTTTAACAGTAGTTTAGAGGTATTTAAACAAGGATTAATTTACGGTGCAAGCCAGTTTTGAAAAATAAACCTGTGTTAAAAATAAAAGCACTGTTAAACTTACAAGTGCAAGTGGCCATTAGAAAGCAAAATTTTAAAATAATAATTTATTTTTTTTTCAGGTCGTCCGGAAACTTTGGGAGCGCGGGGCCGAGATCGGCTCCGACCACCCCGCAGGGCGTGTTCTGCGGCTCGACGGGCAGCAACTCGTCACTCGGCCTCGGCACCGGTCAGACTGGCGGCCTGGTCATCAACGCGCTGGGAATCGGCACCCAACAGCAGCTGCAAGCAGGCCAACAGCAGCAGCAAACGCAACAGGACCAACAGCTGCAGCTGCAGCAGCCTTTCGGCGGAGCCGCCTCGCAGCCATGCACGCCCGGGTGCACGTCGCCATCGATACAGAGGAGTCCCAGTCACTCGGTTTTCACAAAGTGCGATAAGTAAGTCGGAAAATAAAATTTACGATTTGGGTCAACTAGAATTAGTAACGGCCAATCAGGTTAGAAAACGTGTCAAATTCAAAAATCACACTTGGAAGCGTTTTCGAGATATGAATTTTCAATTTTGTTTTTAATTTTCTGAGGTACAGAAGAAACCACAAATATATGAACGTGACTCATCGGGTGCCGAACATATCTCAGACATGCGCAGTAATGTTTTACTTGTCTTGTACATTCGATGCAGCGGTAAATGTACTCACACGTAGGTTTTTAAGCATCCGCCATCTGTGATGTAAAACTGCCTAGGTGTTGGACAAAGATGGACATATGACGCGTGTCCTAGCTTGTTACTTATATTCAATAGAGTTCGTGTTTTAGGCAATTTATTTTATTTTATTACATAGTAAGGCAACCAACTCTACCGTCGGCCATTTGTTTTTATATGTCATATGATCTTTGTTTTTGCATATCGTGTTTCTGCTGTGTGTTTACGGATTAATAATCGTTTTAAACGTTGTAGTTGCTAGTGGTTTTTATTGCAATTGTTATTGCACGTTTATTGGACTTTATTGCAATTGTTATTGTACGTTTTTTGGACTTTAAATAAACGGTGTGTGTTTACGGATTAATAATCGTTTTAAACGTTGTAGTGGCAGTGGTTTATATTATGTAACACAGGTAGATGTCGTATAAAAATCCTTACCTAGAAATTCTAGGCTAGAATACAAAAATATTTTTATTTTATAAATTTTGTACTAGTATTAGTTTAATACATTCTGAAGAAGCTACTGTGTAGCGAAACAATTGTCAATATTTAATAAATTTCGTGAAACTAACGCAAGTGGTTTTATATCCACACAATTTAAATATCTTTCACTTTGTACCTGACCTCCGTAAACATTATTGTTTTTTTGTCACCAATTCTGAAATATTTGCGTTTACAGTTAAAAGAATAGTATATTCTGTAAGAAGTTTGGAATACGGCATATTCCGCTCGAGTGAAAAGTTTGTCACACGAGCCGAAGGTGAGTTTGGCGGTTTTACGAGAGAAAATATGCAATTCCAAACGTGTTTCAGTGATAACACTAGTTTACAAAATCGAAAAAAATTCTGCCCACCATATCCCATTATAATTTTTCCATGTATGTGACCCACTAAACACTAAAATCACAAAAAAAAAATTTCATGGAAGCACGTATATCAAGTATAGCTTGAAATCTAATTGATCGATTTGGTCCAACAAGCCCTTAAATTGAAGGTATTTGAGCCCTCTAAAACTTTATTTGATATACTTTTGACATCGGATAAGTCGACGGATAAGTATTTTGACGCTAGCGATTTTAATAACTTAAAAAATTCGTTTTTATGGCAAAAATTGAGGTCAAAAATTTACATATATGTTATAGTTATCTGTTTGATTTAAACCTTTCCCAGGACGATATATCGTCCTGGGAAAGGTTTAAATCAAACAGATAACTCCAGTTTGGATTTTTTTCGTGAAGCTGACATTTTTACAAAAAAAAAACAAGCTAATGTTGATAAAAATACATGAAAAAATGGCGAAGTTATGAATTTTTTAGTGGAAGACCAAAATTCAGCTTTTTGACGATTTTTATTTTATTTTTTTTCTTTTATTTCGTAATATGTTTATGTTTTAATGAAAACCTAATTAAAGTGCATGATTAGAATTTTTTAAGTTTTTTACGTACTTTTTTCACCGAAAACATTATATAAAATTTAAATTTGACATGACTCAAACGTAAATTCTTTTGTTTCTCGTGTTGGCATAGTGATATTCCACTGGTATTTTTTTTGATATTTCAACAAGGTATTTTTATCATGGTTTTATTTAGTTAATAAATAGTGTAAAATGAGCAAAAGAAGTCGAGAGTTCGAGTGCGTAAATAATCCGGACAATCTGGGCGACGTAAGTGATGAGCACGGAGAACGTTTTCACCAACAAATGAATTCAAAATAAAACATTCAATATCTTTAATGTTCAATATTTATTGTCCCTTATTCAATATATAATTTAATTTCAATATTTAATGTTTAAAATAAAAATCAATGTTCAATATTAAACTTTATATAACTCAATAAAATGAAAAAAACGTAAAAATTCTCGAAAAAACTGAATTTTGGTCTTTCACTGAAAAATTCATAACTTTGACATTTATTCATGGATTTGTATCAACAGCAGCTTATTTTTTTCCTTTTCCCAGAAAGATATGTAAATTCGAATTTTTTAAGTTATTAAAATCGCTAGCGTCAAAATACTTATCCGTCGACTTATCCGATGTCAAAAGTATATCAAATAAAGTTTTAGAGGGCTCAAATACCTTCAATTTAAGGGCTTGTTGGACCAAATCGATCAATTAGATTTCAAGCTATACTTGATATACGTGCTTCCATGAAATTTTTTTTTGTGATTTTAGTGTTTAGTGGGTCACATACATGGAAAAATTATAATGGGATATGGTGGGCAGAATTTTTTTCGATTTTGTAAACTAGTGTTATCACTGTTATCAGGGTTTTTGGGCAAAAATAAGAATGCAAAATTTACCTTTTCGCCAATGATGAATAGAAATAATCGAAAAAAGCTTATTTTAAAATTACCTACGTAGACTCCACACTTTTGCAAAGTTTTCAAAATGGTAATGGAAAAAATGAGTGTAATCACAAAACAAAACAAAAAAAATATAACACGAAAAAGTGGTATTGTTTAATTATGACAAACACCAGGTGTTCTCGTCTCAGGTGTAAATTATCTGATATGAATTACTTTTAGATAAGAACATCCCGATATATACAATAAATAATGCAAATAAACTTTTATCTAAAGTGTCAAAATTATTTAACACATTTGATAATAATAATAATAATAATAATAATATTTATAATAACGGTTTATATATATGTATATTAGGGTGTGCCAAAAAAACTCGAAATAGTTTTTTTCTTGCTCTCCACCCAAAATATCGTAGAATATGTCCGAACAAATATTCTGTTAAAAGCGGAGCTCATAATTTCAATTTTAAGAGGTCCCTCATCGAATCTGAAGTTTTGCCGCTTAAATAACACAGAAAACTGACTTTTTTACCTTATTTATTCTTGCAACCTAGGAAGATTTTTTTTTTTCGTAAAATCCATGACTAATTCTTACAAAGCATTAAATTTGGACAAAAAAATCTTATTAAGCCGAATTTCTATTTTCATTATTTAATTTTTTACTTAGCTTTAAATTTAAAGATAATAATACAAAAATGATGACTTTATACGCCTGTAACTTTTAGAATATTGACGATATAAAAAATTCGCCTAAAACTTTTTTGTGGTCCATCAGACAAGCTAAAAAATTACCATTTGACTTTTTCGTCTAACTTCAATAGTTTAGCTGAAAAAGGCAAAAAACGTAAAATTTTAAATTTAAAGCTCTGTAAAAAATTAAATAATGAAAATAGAAATTCGGCTTAATAAGATTTTTTCGTCCAAGTTTAATGCTTTGTAAGATTTGGTCATGGATTTTATGAAAAAAAAATTTCTTCCTAGGTTGCAAGAATAAATAAGGTAAAAAGGTCAGTTTTCTATGGTATTTAAGCGGCAAAACTTCAGATTCGATGAGGGACCTCTTAAAATTGAAATTATGAGCTCCGCTTTTAACAGAATATTTGTTCGGACATATTCTACGATATTTTGGGTGGAGAGCAAGAAAAAAACTATTTCGAGTTTTTTTGGCACACCCTAATGTATATAAACATATTGGACCAGTCAAGTAAAATTTCAAAATAATATATAAAAACACTCTTCCACAGAATAGTATTCTTTCTCTAAAAACAAAGTCTGCAGCTTGGTTTTTAACATCTTGGAACATTTACAATAGGACGCAATAAACATAACATTTAATTTCCATATAAATAAAAGAATTTTGACATGCAGAGAGCAACTCATTTTTACTTCTTGTTGAATAACTATTTATGTTAGTATGAGTTAAAATGTCTTTTTTATTTTCAACAATATATAAAATCAAATTTAATTAGATAAACATTCTGTATTTCTTAAACAATGGTTTACAAGAATATGTTTGACTTTTGTTATCCATGCACCTAAGGTTTTTTTGCATTATAAAAACGTTGTTAAAATGACTAGAGCTACCTAAAATATAATGCCATAGGCAAGATGTGCTACCCCAAAGTACATAAGTCACAGTACTGTAAAGGTTACTGACCCTCTTAATAACCTTATTAAATAGCAAGCATTTCAATTATTTATTTGTGTTTTCCATGTTAACTTTCTATCCAAGTAAATACCCAAAATTGTATGGTTTCCGCAGACTCAATTGATTTACCTATAATTGGAATAAATAGATCATAATCTGGTAAAACATTTTTTGGTAAAAATCCCATATAAAATGTTTTGTTTTTGTTAATGGTTCGACCATTTTCTTCACACCATATAATTAAATAAAGATGCCTCAGTGCATAAGTTTGAAATACATATTACGATTTTGAATTATAAGGTTTGTATCATCTGCATACAGAATAAGTTGCTCATTTATATTAGTATTTAAATTTAAATCATTTACAAAAATTAAAAATAAAAGTAGCCCCAATATCCATCCTTGAGGTACACCCAATGTTACTCTATATATCTATATACGATTTTTATTTATTTGCAACACCTCTAACTCCCATATTTTCAAGTTTATGTAATAATAATTATAATCTATGATTATTAGTATTAAATGCACGACTTAAATAATAAAACAATCTAACAACATGGTGTTTTTTATTTAACTTTTAAGAATAAGATTTAATGCACTCTCTATTGCTGTGTTAGTGGACTTATTTCTCCTAAACCCATTTTGAAATTCAAAAGGTAGTTGGTAGGGTCTAAAAAATTCTGTAAACGATTGTAATACAATGTATCTATTATTTTACTAAACTGACTTTGAAGGCTTGCTGGTCTTTTACTTATAGCGCCAGATTTGCTTCCTTTATTTTTATAAATTTTGAACATTTTGAACACTTAAGTGCAGAGGGATACTCAACATTCTTGTAACACTTACACTATACTACAACATTTTCTAATAAATCGTTTTTAAGTTGAAGAAACTAAAGGGTCATATGTTGGGACCCTGTGGCACCCCTGATGTGGCGTATCAAATCAAATTGTTTTATGCTTAACCATAATGTTAGGTATTCATATTAATAATATAATTGTTATCAATTCTAAATACTTATTTATTTATCAACAGTAGCTCTTCATAGGAAATTCTGTAGGTATTTATAAACATTATTAAAATTCATAAGAAGCTAATGACATCCTACCTAATGCAATTAAAACCCACTTTATAGGTAATTTTTTGTTCCTCTTGATAACCAATAAACATTTCCCAGTGCATGGGCGTAGCAGGAAGGGGGCAAAAGAATCCGGTTTCTGGAGCATCACCCCTTGATATCAAGAAAACAAGTAATCGTAAAAATTAGTAGTGTCAATAATAATTTGTTTACAGACCTTACAGGGGGCAACTGAACCCCTCCTTTCCCCCTGACTACGCCCATGTTCCAGCGTTATTAATTATTTGATATCCGCTGATAGCCGTTATCGTCACGTTGATAATAATTAAATCTTGTCTCGGTAGTTTCAATTTAGTTTGATTCGATGTTTAATGGAGAAAACAACGCTGTTGTGGTGATTTTGTTTTGTTATTTGCGTGCGGAAGTTTATCTTTACGGAAGGGATTAAGTTGTAGCCAACACGATGTTCGATGACGATACTAGTAGTAGTTATAGCTCTAGTAGTAATGAGTAAGTGTTTATAAAGAAAGGGTTTTTCAATTAAAACGTTCTAACTTTAAACGTAAATAAGTAAAACAAGTTTGGTTGGAGGCAAAAATGCAAATTTATGAAATAAACAAAATATTATAGTGTGGCTTTTATACAGGATGATTAGTTCATATAAATTTTTAAATCGTGGTGCTATAAACTTGTGATTTCGTGTAGCCCTTCATATAAGTCCCTACAAATAATTGAAAAAATTTCCGCGCAATAAGTCCATTGTCATACCAGCAATGGGGTGAGTCTAAAACGGCATTTCAGACCAAAAAAAAATTGGTCAAAATTGATCGATACAAAAATAAGAATCCTTTGAAGCGACAGGTTGCTGATAAAACAGTTCTAAATTATAAATTACTTCCTTTCCTGGGGGGACAATAGAATAAAACTCCCACCACAAAAATTTCACGGGTGATGGTTAAAATAATTATTGAAATAAGAGGCAATAAGATGAAGAATTGTTAGAACAATAGAAATTAATATAAAAATTAATTATAAACAAGAATATAATATTATTTATATAAATCAAAGAATAAGTTCAAGTCAAATTCTCTTGATCTCGATCATAGTAAAATTTTAAAACATATTGAACTGATCAACTTTAAGTAAGCAAAAGGCCATTACCCTCAAACACAAGCACTCTTATAAAGTTCATTTTTTTTTAACTGGACTGCGGCAACGTTGCAAATTTAGGATTTTGGTTGGTAAATACAGTTGTCAAGTTGGTCGCTTGATTAAAACAAACTAAGCTAGTTATAAATCTAATTGTGGTTATGTATAAATTATTGTAGGTTACATTGTGCAGTTGTCAAGTTGAGTTGTCGAAATTCGTAGTTAAAAATGCAATTAATTTGGCTTTGGTGGTGCTTGGATGAGTAAAATCATATAAAAAAGTAGTTAAATATAAGTTGCTTTAAGGCCCAGAAGAGAAAGTATTCCTAGCGGATAATAATCTTCGCTTTGAAAAGAATTTATATAAAAGAAATTAAAATTTTTTGTGCAATGGTAAATAATGTGAAAATAATGTGTGATGTAATATTTATAAAACCAAATTCGTTACTTTTTTACTCCAAAAATGTTCATAAGGCGATGTACTTTTTCTTCCATTGTGGCTTTTACATTCGATTTCGTTGCTATTATTTTTGGCTTAATTATCTTTTTATTTATAATTGACAAGTAAATTATCGACTATAATTACACAAGAGCTTATTTTTAGCCGGATAAATTTTTGTTTTCCTTAAAAGCTTGTTACCTAGCAATTTGACAAGAAAAAATGTCATCAATCAGATGACATTTTTTCGAGTCAAATTGCTGAAAGGTAACAAGTTTGAAAGTTAGAAAACATAAATTTATCCTGCCAAAAAAAAAGCTCGAGTGTAATTCGACGAGATAATTTTGTGATTATTTTTTTTCATATTGCATGCCCAATCAAGCAAAATATTTGCTAAATCTTGCTGTGATATTGAGTCGAGTAGTTTGTAGATCCTCGCATTACAAAATGCCATAATTTGTCGCCAAATTGACGCTTTATTATTAAAGACTTATTTGGGATACTTTTTACAATTTGTTTTTCGCCGGAAACGACACCAAAACGATTCATTTTAAAAGATTTTTTGACACCTGCTATTAAAAAATAATTATTTGCAAGGTTGTCAAGGAAATGAAATGACACGAGGTAAATAAATAATTATCCACTTGCAAAAGTTACCTTCCTTTTTATCCGTTATCAAAGTGACTTAAATGCCATTCAACTACGACGTTTTCATGTAAGAAACAAATTATCGTAAGTAATATCATAAGGGCATTTAATTTTTCCGAAAAGAATCGAAAAAACACGTTGCTAAGTGATATTTTAACAAAAAGCATGAGTGCTGGTGGCAACAAAAATCCGAGTCGAAGAGGAGGATTTTTGCACCTGCACGAATGCTTTTTGTTAAAAAATATTACTTAGCATTGTGTTTTTTCGATTTTTTTCACAGGAAAAATTAGATGCCCGAATGGTATTTGACAAGACTATTTCATGAGTAACAGTTAACAATTAAAATATAAATTGCAATTTTTGGTGACAACAGCTGTCAAGTTTTGCCGCGGGTAAACTCGAAAAAACTGCTGACAGGTGCTGTCACACAGTTTTTTCACCTAGAAACCATTTGTAATTCAAAATTGCGCGTTTGTGATTGGTGGATATTAAGACGAGGGAAATAGTCAATAATAAATATTATTGTCAATTTAACAGTGTCAAATTTTTAGCAGAAGTACCATTTTTAAATACTAAAAATACTAAGTCAAACTGGCATAAGCCACCAACCTAACAAAAAAACACGAGTCCAGATAAAAAAAATTAACTGTATGTTCAGATTAAAGAAAAATAAGTTTGTAAGGTAAAAATAAAGAAGACACATCAACTTTTTGCCGTAAAGTTGCTAAATAAAGGCAGACTTTCGATTTCTTTACAAAAACTGTTGTAAAATACATCTGACTGTCATGTCAAGCTTATCTCTCTTATTAGGTTTATTACCATAACAACCGCTATTATGTGTGGTTTATTTAACTTTTTTTATTTTACTTTTATAAATATTACGTAAGATAATAGTATATTATGTATCAAATTTGATCAACGCCATTTTATTCAAGAATTTAAATTAGGCACGAGCTAGCTTGCGAGCGAATGTTTAATTAATTGAGGGTCTAGAAAAGTTTATAAACGAGTTGCATATTATAGTCTTCTACGACAAATACTTAAAAATGATTAAATTAAATATTTGTATAGATCGATATCTATAAAACAATAGAGTAACCAACTTTGAAATCTGCATTATCTGTGCTTTAAATTTTTATGTGTAAATCGAAATGTATTTCTTTAAAAAGACTAATCACCGTTTAAATCTAATATAGAAGCAGTTTTTCACAGTGAAAGTGAAGAAGATGTTTTATGGGCATTCCATTGCTTATCTTTATTGGATATTTTGTTTGCTTCCTTAGTTGATCCAAAATCTGCAATAGATTTTCTGAATTATTCCTTTCTTACTACTTTCATACTTTATTTATATTAATTTGTATATTTTTGTTCCAGAACTAATTTAAAACATTTGTCTACCTCAACGCCCCAAATGACGGCGCAGGGGCAGCTCACAGAACCCCCCAGTCCTAAGGCCTACAAGGAGGGAAAGGTGAGGACCACCTCCAAATCACATCAGAAAAAATTCAGGAGGCATTTTCAAAACGTCAACGAGGAGGAGGTTCTTAACCGTAAGTAACAAAAAATCTGTTTTTTGTGTTTTATTTAAGAAATAATAATAATAAAATGTAAATGCACTATTTAAGAATCAAAATATTGATGTGTTGGACCACACACAACTAGACAGAGCCAATATGTGTCCCAAACTTTGATTCATCAGACTAAACTATTATTTTTTTTATTAATAAAACAAATAATTATTTATGATTCTTTTATTAATTATTATTATTGAGTATTGATATTAAATTGGTAATATTTCTATAAATTTAATAAAGGTAAAAGGTTTTCTAGCATTTTCCACATAAAACCTATTATATATAGATTATCGACCATTATAATAATATCGAAAATTCATTAATTTAGTATTTTTTTACATAAACAAACTACATTTCATTTGACGTTATGAAGTATAAAATTTACATAATACACTGGGCGTCAAAATTAACGCATAATAAGTAAAAAAAAATCTAACTCTAAAACGCCTTTACCAATCTTTATAAAATTTTGGATAAAAATACTTATATAACTTATATCTCAGTTTACATGTTCAAGGGTTTTTCGAAAAAATATCCTTAAAGCCCTTTTATTTAATAATAAAAAAAACACTCGAAAAAAAAACTTTTATAGGGAATTTCTTTTAAGTAAATAAAAAATATGCTGTGAAATACTGTATTTTTGTTAGTATACCCTAAAAATGTTGTACAAATCAATCGAACAGTAACGAAAATACAGCGCTTCAAAGTCGTCAAAAATTACCACTTTTCAGAAAAATAATCAAAAAGGGGTCATTTTTACCGACTTTGAAGCGCTGTATCTTCGTTAGTGTTCGTTTGATTTGTACAAAATTTTCAAGGTACACTAACAAAAATACGGTCTTTAAAAGCATATTTTTAATTTTTTTAAATTCCCTAAAAGTTATTTTTCGAATGATTTTCTCGAAAAACCCTCGAACACGTAAACAGAGAGTTAGATTTTTTTTACGTATGCGTTAATTTTGACGCGCAGTGTATTAAATAAATTCAGCCTTATTACGTAAGTATTTCCGAATGTAGTTGAAATCAATAAAAACACGAGGCAACCTTTATCCAAGCATTTGTTTAAAATTTCCAATTTCTCGTTTTCTTGTTATTATTTATTTTTTCTTTTTTTGTTACAGATTATCTCTGCGCTCTAATTGGTGACATCCTTTTGCAAGGCCATCTTTATATCACAACAAATTACTTCGCTTTTTATTCCAATGTTTTTGGATACGTCACCAAGGTAGTTTTAATAATATTTATATAGTCTAATATGGCCTTAAAAATGTTTAGACCGTTTTAAGACATTGTAGTTAGTTTTACAATATAGAACATTCTTTGGTGGTTTTAGTACACAAACAGTTTTAAGTAGTAGTTAAGACAGGTTTAGGGTATTTTTAGACATTTTAAAGAGAAATTTTTGATGGTTTTTATTTTATATGGCGTCTCAGATTTTAATAGGGAAAATTTAGTAATCAATAAAACTCAAAACAAAAACAAAAAATAAGAAGAAAAGTTTATATAACTTGTATGTTTTAATGCTTTGTTTTTCAGATACAGGGTGGTATAGTATATTATGTCTCAAGTTTTATAAACGCCATTTTAGTCACGATTTTAATTTAATTTAATTAAAGATTGCCTAGAACAGTTTATAAACGACTTGCATACTATACTTTTTCTACGACAAATTCTTAATATTATCTAAAAATTGATTCAAATTAAATATTTGTTTAAAACGACATCTATACGAAAGTAAAGTAACCATCCCAATAAACATTTTTGACGTAATTTTAACCATTAACATTTCCCGTTATTATTTTAATTAAACTTAACAATTATTTATACTTTTAAATATTAAAATAACTTTAAAATATAAATATCTTAAGCTCTGATTTTTTTAATACTATAATTGCAAAATATTGTCTCTAAGTATTAAAAATTCCCTTATTGGAATTCCCGTAAGAATTTCTAACTTGGGAATCTACCGGCGTTAAAATCTCAAATTTTTCTGTGTAAATCAAAATTTATCCCTTGAAAATAGACTATCAATCGATATAGACACAGTTTTCACAGTAAAAGAGAATAGAATGTTTTATGAGCACTGTACGCAAAATTTGTAACGCTTTATCAGTTAAATCTAGCTAACTAACGTTCATATAATCTTTTCAAATATTGGCGTCAAGAAACTATTTAAAATTTTTGTGTTTTTCTATTGAAGTAATAAAATAATTTTCACATTTAGTATTATTTTACATGAAAGCCACTTTATTTTAACGATTGTATGAGATTTGGCAACTGTCAACTAACTTCACAACTTGTCAATGTGTATTTAAAAGGTCACTTAATTTCATGGAAACAAAACAAAATTTTTTTAAAATTCTTATTTTTTTTCAAAAGTTTCATAATCTTCCCAGAACGAATTTAATGTAACTAAATTTAATTTAGTTAATCCAGTGCTGGGGCATCCCAACTAGATATTTAAAAATAAAATTTAGGTACGCTACTGCTTTTTAAAAGTTTAATATTATTTTTAGATTAAATAATTAACAATACTTCCTTTGTCTCCTGCTTTTTTTCTCCATCTTGTTTAATTTTCAAGAGAAAAAAAATAAACTTTTTTATTTGCTCACTTCTCAAAAGGATAAGCGTATTTAATTTTTTTCTCGAAAGGTAGTAAAAAAATGCAAAAAAGAAAAAAGTTTCATTTTTAGTTGCTTAATATAATTATAATATCAAACTTATAAAAAAGCAGTGGGGGTAACCATACTTTTTTATTAATCTTACAGAGTGTATCTCAAAAACAAAGCTTTAAAGCACACAAGTTCATATAAACTTTTCTTTTTACTTCTATTTTAGTTCTACCATGTATATTTTTTGTTTTACAACAAAAAATCAATAAAAAATTTAAAAAAAGTTGAGTGTCATCACGAAACATCTTGGCTGGTACGAGTTTAGTTGTAAATTTTAACAATTTTGTAAATTTTTAACTTTGTCAATATTTTTAATATTCTCTTTCATACAATACAATACGAATATCTGAGCTATATCCTTATATTGATGACGTAAAAGCAGCGTTACCAGATTCTGTCAAAAAAAAGTAATAGATTTTGTGTGAATATTATAATTTGACGTCACTGACTGACAGAATCTGGTAACTCTGCGAAGGAGTTAAGTAACTATTAAATTTATTTAACTTTTTTGGCGGGTAAATATATTTGAATTTTTATAACTTTGATAAAAATTCAACTAAAGTTCATTTTTTATCTGGCTTTGCCAGTTTGACTTAGTATTTTTAGTATTTAAAAATGGTACTTCTGCTAAAGAATTTAATTAAATACTTTGAGACTGTCAAATTGACAATAATATTTAGTATTGACTATTTCCCTCGTCTTAATTTCCACCAATTACAAACGCGCAATTTTGAATTACAAATGGTTTCTAGGTGAAAAAACTGTAACAGCACATGTCAGCAGTTTTTTCGAGTTTACCCGCGGCAAAACTTGACAGCTGTTGTCACCAAAAATTGCAATTTATATTTTAATTGTTACTCGTGAAATAGTCTTGTTAAATACCATTCGGGCATCTAATTTTTCCTGTGAAAAAAATCGAAAAAACACAATGCTAAGTAATATTTTTTAACAAAAAGCATTCGTGCAGGTGCAAAAATCCTCCTCTTCAACTCGGATTTTTGTTGCCACCAGCACTCATGCTTCTTGTTAAAATATTAATTAGCAACGTGTTTTTTCGATTTTTTTTCGGAAAAATTAGACCCCCTTATGATATTACTTACGATAATTTACTAATTTGTCAATTATAAATAAAAAGATAATTAATAGCAACGAATTTTGAGGGCAAAACTTCATTTTGATGAAATTACGCCTAATGCCACAATGGAAGAAAAAGTACATCCTTATTATATGGACATTTTTGGAGTAAAAAAGTAACGAATTTGGTTTTATAAATATTACATCACACATTATTCACCATTGGACAACATTTACGTTCACAAAAAATTTTAATTTCTTTTATATAAATTCTTTTCAAAGCGAAGATTATTATCCGCTAGGAATACTTTCTCTTCTGGGCCGTAAAGCAACCTATATTTAACTACTTTTTTATATGATTTTACTCATTAAAGCACCACCAAAGCCAAATTAATTGCATTTTTAACTACGAATTTCGACAACTTAACTTGACAACTGCACAATGTAACCTACAATAATAATCAATGCGACCAACTTAACAACTGAATTTACCAACCAAAACCCTAAATTTGCAACGTTGCCGCAGTCCAGATAAAAAAAAATGAACTCTATATTAACCCGTTAAAATAAATTTAATAAAAATTAAACAGTTTGCTGAGCAGTATACATACATAGATAGTACTAATTTCCTACGAATCCTAATCGTTTGCAACAATAATTGCAGTTGCTGATACCGGTGCTGTCGGTGGAAAAAATAACAAAGGAAAAAACGGCCCGAATAATCCCGAACGCGGTCGGCATCCAGACGTCGGACGACAAACACGTGTTCGGCAGTCTGATGTCGAGAGACACCACCATGCAGTACATGATCACCGTGTGGCAGAAGGCGAAAAACGTCAACTCGGCGCTGCCCATACCGCCGGAAGTGCCCGATATCGTGAGTATATTTTTTTCTGTTTGTTTGTTTTTTCAAGTCGCCATATGGTGGCTTACTAGATACAAAAGATAACAAACAGTTGTGCCATCTAAACTTGCTAACTAACGATTGTTTTATTGTTTTAATTGCCTTTAAATTTCCATGGGAATTTTACTAATAGTGATGTAACAGATATCTACCAGTAGGTCATTACATTTTAATAATACGTACTTACCACAAAACTATTATTAAGTAATATTTTAACATCATCATAAAAAACTGAATCAAATGTATATTTTTTTTAGTTTGGGGCGATTTCGTTGTAGATGATTCCAGATATCAATTTCTAAAACACAGTATTTGTTACTTTTTTTATGAAAATACAATAAAGACTTATATTTTAATTTTGTCGCGCTTAGAAACATTTACATTCACTTTTTTATTTCATTTTGTGGGTCATTTTTAAGAAACACTCGCTTTCAGGAAAATGAAGATCAAATTTTTTTTTTTGCTTAAATTGACTTTTGGTTGGATTTTTATAAATGTTTAGTATTTTGTTTACTTACATTTAAGACAGGCAGTGCACTTTTTAATTTTTTTTTTACGTTTTTTTCAGAAAAATGTGTTTAGCTAGCTTTATATATCTCCACTGTGTTACCAATTTGAAATCCAAAATTTAATTCAATAAAAAAGGTTGTTATAAAAATAATTTGAAATAAAATGTAGGTACTTAATTCACAAACTTTTGACTCCAATTTTTTATTTTTTTTTTATTAAAAATTGTGTATGCCTTTTTAAAATATTTATGTTAGTTAAGTTACTTTTTAAAAGAAACCATTCCGATTCTTTGCTAAAAAAACAATACCATTAATATTTTCTTTTAGTCACTGTATTAGTGAGTTATACTCTAATTTTTAAACAGGTATTACCAAGTGATAGTAAAATTATTTTAAGGATTTTTTTAACAAAAACAAAAAAGTAACGAAATAGACATTGAAAAGAAACTATATAGGGTGGTACGATTTTAGAGTAATGCATAAACAAAAATTCCTTTTAAGGTGCTTTTAATAAAAGCGACGGTAAATATCCACTTTGTTGTCGAAAAAATCTATTGCGTTACCCTAAATTCCATTGCGTTACCATAAGGTAACGTAATGGACTCGGTAACGCAGTGGAAAAAGTTTTGTGAAACCATATTTAAAAAAAAATAAGACATAACAGTCATGAATTACTCTCAATGAGCTTTATTGCCCTAAAATAAACATAAACATGAAAAATAGTATTTTTTCTTACCTTATTTTTATTATTTTTTTTATTAACTTGGCGGACAAACAGTTATTACATTCGCGTTACCCGCACCTGTTTCAACCGATAAATTCAGCTGGGTAATGTGTACGTCCGAACATCATTTGTTGATCAAGTGATTGCCAAAAAAAGTTGCCATATATATGTTTTTTTAAATATTCTATCGGTAACGTGACGGACGTAACGTAACCGAAAAAATGTCTGGGACATGAGTCAAATTTAAAAAAGTAGATTAAAATTAATTAATTTATATATAAATTGTTTACTTTATTAACTAAGGATGTTATGAATTGCTATAAAGCAACACAAAGTTCTGGTTATTCAATATTTAAAAAAAACATGTTTGTAAGTTTTATAAAACGCTAATGGGACATGCGAAAATGTGTGTTTCACAAGTTTCAAAATAAAATAAAAATATTCTGAAATAATTAAACAAACATTTTCTTACTAAGGGATTGTTAGGCTTTCACTTGGTTTTTAAATCAATAAGATCCGATAATTGTTAACAAAGTTATTGGAATTCAAACTTACGGACAGCGGAAGACGGGTGTTTTTTGAAAACGACCCTTGTACTATGTTCTGGAAATTTTGCACCCGTGGTACTACTTTTAATTCTCATCAAAGGGTGTTTTTTTTTATTAAAATGTTATTTTATATCATTTTAAAAACTGATTAAATTTTGTTAAACGGCCATTCCACGCGTAACGGATAGGACAGTTGCAAGTTTTTATTTAAAAAATAACATTGTTCTATTATATTACTAATGTAAAATTTTTATAAATAGTTCTAAAGAAAAGCTGTTTAACAAGGTTTTTATTTGGCAAAATTAGGTATAGTGGTTGACCGTTTAATTCCATAAAAAATATTTATTTTTATTCAAAAACACTACTAGTACTGTTTTTGAATGAAATTAACAATGAATGAATGAATGAACAATATTATTTTGTAAATAAAAACTTGCAACTGTCCCATCCGTTACGTGTGGAATGGCCGTAAAGTAATTTTATTAGATTGTCTTTTATTTATTTTTAAAATTTACAATTTAATAATAATATGAATGTTATAAAGATTTTATTTTTTTACACAAATTGGTAGAAAATCCATCTGTTAACTATGGCAGTTCATAAGCTGCAGCTTCATTGTTTGATTGGTTGCCATGGTCACCGTTTTTGGATGTGTAATATTTAATTTTAATAACTATAGAAAAAACATTTTTATACACAAAAATATAATTGTGGTTTTGTTATAACTTTTAGAAATCGTATCGTATATAAAATAATACACGTACTATGCTTCATACCCAAACATCCCATTTTGACATTTGTATATGTATACATAATTGAGGTTATCTATTTGTCAGTTTAACGAACGTCGTTTTTTGAAAATAATACAATTGTATTAATATTTGTATTTTTTGAGTATACATTTTTTAGTTTAGAATACACAAAATACATACTTATATTGTATTGTTTTCAGAAAATAAGGCAATTCGGCCATTTCAAGCGGATGGACGGGACAAATCACAAAACTGTTTTTATAAAAAAAATTGTAGGTAATTTATTATATATTATTTTTGCATCAAAATTGTCAAATATATTCTTCTATTATTAGGCTATACATTAAATAAAAAAAATCGCAAGAAATATTTTATAAAAGTTGAGATAATTTCAATAATTGACAGGGGTGGACGGGACAAGATAAATCTTTTTTTTGTCCCGTCCACACCTTTCAATTATTAAAATTATATCTACTTTCATAAAATATTTCTTGCGTTTTTTTTATTTAATGTATAACCTAATAAAAGAAGAATATTTTTGACAATTTTGATGCCAAAATATTATATAATAAATAATCTACAATTTTTTTTATAAAAACAGTTTTGTAATTCGTGCCTTTCGCGCGCTTGAAATGGCCGAATTGGCGTTAAACTGACCGATAAATAACCTCAATGTTTTGTATTCAAATGTCAAGGTGGGAGGTTATTTTAAATGTTTATCATAATGTTTATTATTATCAAGGACCGGATTTTAGGCAAAATGCCTTTTTGTTTCTATTTTAGGCATTTGTTTGGGACCTTGATATTAATCCTAAACTTAAAAAAATAAAGCGAATGACACCCTAAAATGCCTAAAATGGCGAAATTTCGATTTATTACCCTAAAAGGACATTTTTATCAGCCTAAAATAGTCTTTTTGAATTTTTCAGTAAAAAATATATTTTTCATTGCGGAAAAGTAAATTATTCTTAATTAGACCCTGCTTTCATGCTCTTATTTCGCCTCAACGCCCTTGGCGAGTACGAGGACCACAAATTACAAAACTAGTGAAAACCTAATAAAAAAAGTAATTGTGTTTTTGCTAACTAAATATTAATTATAAATAATTATGGATAATATTAAGTTTGTAAAATAATTATTATTTACTTTGTTTTCATAGGTTTTACTGTAATTTCCATATACATATGTATTACGTATATAATAATAATAATAAATACTTTATTTTCATCCCAAGAAACATACAGTTTATAGAGGGACACCTCTAATCATACAATTTAATATATATTTTTTAATTCTTAATACATTTTTTAAATCTAAATTAATTTTATTTTATTAATACATTTTTAATTCTAAATATGGTAATTTCAGACTTTTTAACAGTTTTTAGTAATATAATTTGTCGCCATATAAATAAGGTCTTTCACAAGCATATTTTTTACTTTTCATCTCTAACTAAAAAAGCAGTGCCGTGACTTTTTTATTAACTTTAATACCCTGTATCTTAAAAACAAAGCTTTAAAGCATACAATTTTTCAACTTATTTTTGCAAGTTCTATCGACTATTAAATATTCCCGATTAAAATTTGAATTATTATACGAATTTTTGTGTTATATCAAAAAAATCGTTTTTTTCGCAATATTGCAAAAACAAGAACTAATTGTGCAAACTGACCATCATAACCGTGGTCACTGTGGCTAAATGGCTGTTGACCAGTGTTAAATAATTATTTATTAATTACAGACACCTGAAGCAGAAATTGAATCAAGTGAGTCGGCGGAAAGTGGGAGGGATTCACCGATAGACGATGATCCACCCACCTTCAAAAAATGCGACGTTCCTTTGCAAACTGAAACTGACAGTAAGTATCTGACGAAAAATACCTTGCTTTAACTCAGAATCCACCTGGCAACCCTACTTGTTGCCCCATAACACAAACTTACACAGAGATAAAAGATTATTTTAATTATTAAATTATTTATTTCGATATACCCAAATAAATGTTCTTTTGAATGTAAACAAATATTTATTCCTTTTAATTTATTTAATTTAAAATTAATTTATTTAACCCAAACAAAAATGATTTGTTTGTAGAAATAAAACCAAGTAACAAACATGTATTTTTTAAATTAAAAAAATGTTTTTATTTACGTCAAACATATAATTTATTTCATTTAAAATTAATTTACTTAAATTAAATAATTATTATATTTGAATTAATAAAAAATAATTAATTAGAATAAAAGATATATTTTTTTAAATAATAATATATTATTGGTTTCATCTAATCTAGTAATATATATTGGTATATTAGCCTAATATTATTAGGGAGTAAAAATTAATTAAAATTTTTAATAATAAACTAATCTTTATTGAATAAAACAGTCTTATAAATAAAGATAGTAAACCCCAAACTCTACAAATACTTACAAAATCTAAAAATACTTTTTGGTGCATAAATTAACCCATTACATATAATACATATAAAATCATTAGTCTGCTCCTGGGGTACAAAAATACTTTTTCTTATAGCTACATACATGTCACCATTTGGCAAAATATAAATTAGCTTAATGTTAACTTAATGTTAATGTGTGCTGCATAATAATAATGATAAATTCCAACTAATTATTTAAATTACTTAGGAATACATTTTTCAACAGCTCATTCCTTTAAAAGGTCCTCCATAGTATAAAATAATATTATATTATAATTGATTAAATGCAACACACTACTCATCAACAGCCTGCTCTAAATTGGAGTCGCTAAAATCATGTACACACAAAATGGAAATTCCATTGGCTATCTGCAGTCGCGTGATTTACAGCAACCAATAAGAACTAAAGTATTCATGCAAGTCATGTTCAGGGATGCCAAAATCTGTCAAAAAAATCCGCAAGATTTTGTTTGAATCCACCTTAATCACAAAAATGACACAATGCAAATTGTCAATTTGACGTTATTCAGTAGGTATTGTTAATTGTGTCATTTTTGTAATAAAGGTGCATTTAAACAAAATCTAGCGGATTTTTTTGACAGATTCTGACATCATGACTCATGCTACTTCGACGTGAGCAAAAAAGTTTAAATAAACCTCTTCTTCAAATTAAATCACAATTTTTGTTATTTAAATAATAATTTGGTTAAATGAAATAATTCATTTTTTTAAATTAAATTAAAATCATATTTTAAAATTAAACCATGTTTTTTAAAAAAATAATATTTGTTATTTAATTTAAACTTTTTAATTTTTTAAAAGAAGTAAATTATTTTTATAATTTAAGAAAGTCAACTTTTATGTAAACAGAATAAGTGCAATTTTGAAATAAAAGTCAGGTACTTTGTTTTAAATATATATGGGTGATTCTACAAAAGTTGGGCAACTTTTGACCTCATTTTGTTTAAGGGGCATTCCACGTTACTCGGTAATTTTTGTCCCGCCCGTCACAATTAAAAATTGTGAGTAAAAACCACAAGTTATAAAATTAATATTTTATAATATTATTTTTATTGTGCTTTTAACTTATTAAAAGCATAATAAAACAATATTTTTAAATAAATTTTATAACGTGTAGATTTTACTCACAATTTTTAATTGTGACGGGCGGAACAAAAATCCCTGAGTAACGTGGAATGACCCTTAAATAGTTTTCGGAGAAAATTAAACAGTATTTTGTTATGATAATAAATATACTGTTCCAGACTGGGACAGTCACTTTTTCAAACAGTTTCTGAAATATCTGTGTTTTCTAAATTTGAATGCAAGGGAAGTGACGAGTATACCAGGGTACTAATTAAATACATAATTTATTGAAAAATATAAGATTTATTGCAACTTTGAGCATATTATACATTAAATATCTTAAAATCAAATAATACCACACATCAGTGGCGGCTGGTGGATTTTGGGTATACCGATATCTCAATTATTAAATATAGGACCCACACCAAATTTATATGAGTTTATAATGACATTAAATAAACAAGTTTTGCGCAAGCAGAATTTAAATTGAAGTTTGCGAAAAAAAGATAACCGAACATGGAACTGACGACACGGTATGAATGGGATACAAATTTGAGATTATAATTCGAAATTAGGTATTTTACTGATATTTTTATTAGCGGATACTAATTATCGACAAATCACATATAGCCTTATATAAATTACAATGAAGTATATATACGTATACGTATACCCACCGCAGTACTGAAATTTTGACTGGAACTATAAGTGCATTCACCACAACTTCGCCGCTTGCATTGTTTTCAAGATGACTGTCGTGCAAAGGGCGGGCTCTGTAGGTAATTTTTTACCAACACTTGAGTTAAAACGAGGACTTGACGTTTAAACTTCAATATTTCGCAGGAATTTTGAATTTTAACATTGGACACAGAACTGACGGGTAAAAGTGATTACAAAGATTATCAATTTTTAAAAAATTTCTATTATTCGAATCTATGGTAAAATATGAAGAATACATTATTTAATGATTTATAGTTTGTAGTGAAATTGAAAAATTTAAGATAAATTGAATATTTGATTCAGGAGTTGTGACACACCAAGGTACTGATGTTTACAAACGTGCTTTTGAAAAAATACGTTAAAATTGGGTGGACAAGTTAAAAAACCTGGATCTTTTGTAATATACTAAAATATTTACAAAACATATTAAAATACCTATTCTATTGACTGATGACATCAAGTTGTCCAACTTTTGTAGAATCACCCATATTTTAATAAATTTTCTTTTTTCTTTTAAATACAAATTTTTATTTTTTTAATTGTAAAAAATAAAATTAAACAAACATTCTTGTTTGAATTAAAACATCTTTTTTCTCTGTGAAGCTCTTCACCCGGGAAGACAATTTAAACAATGTTTTGTTTTGTTTTAGTTTATGAGAGGCGCAGTTCCAAGGGCCTCGTCAGGACCGTGCAAGAGGCCATCTCCGAGTTCTCGAAGCTGCCGCGGCAAAGTTTGATTCTGTTCGCCACCACGTTGCTGCTGATATTGTTGTTCTTGTCGGCGGGCATTTTGCTCTATCGAATAAGCAAAATCCAGAATCGGTACTCGCTGGCCATGCAGGACAGCAGGTCGGCGGGCGGGGAGGAGATCTACAGCAATTTGCTGCAGTGGCAGTCGCACCTCCACACGAAGTCTGCGGGAGCTGTCAACAATTTTTTAGACAGCAATCTTGACCAGATTGCAAAGGTAAGAAAACAAGTTTTATGTAAAATATTGTTACAAAAATAATTATTGATGTGGGGTTGAAATTTAAATATTTTTTTATGTAAAGTAAACAATTTATATATATGTATATATATAGGGTGTTTCTTTTAACTTGAGACAGCTCAATATACAGGGTGTCCGGAAAAAGGAGGTCAATCCTTTAACCATATATTCCTTGAGTTAAAACAATAAGACTTTCATAATACCATTTTTCAATTTAGAGCTTCATGTTCGATATACAGGGCGACAAAGTTTGAAATTTAAAACAATTTTTTTTAATAATTCGAGTAATTAATAAGGTATTAAGTTCAAATTTGGTACACTATTTCAACATAAATAGTTACATCTTTTGAGATCAACAAAACAAAAAACAAATGTCAAATAATCAAAATAGGGGGGGTCCAGTACTCACTGACCCCCCCTATTTTTTAGTACGGGCGCCAGTGACTTCCAAATGGTATTTTTTCAGGTAATCATTTAGTGTTAAACATTTTTTGTCTCCTACAAAAATTTGATGAAATGCTTTGTTTTAGAGATAATTTGTAAAGTATTGGTCCTTGATTGATGCCCAGGCGGCTTATGGCAATCTCATAATTTTCAAATGTACTACTGGACCACCCTATTTTGATTATTTGACAATTATTACATCTTTTTAGGACAACAAAACAAAAAACAATTGTCAAATAATCAAAATAGGGTGGTCCAGTACTACATTTGAAAATTATGAGATTGCCATAAGCCGCGTGGGCATCAATCAAGGACCAATACTTTACAAATTATCTCTAAAACAAATCATTTCATCAAAATTTTATAAGAGACAAAAAATGTTCAACACTAAATGATTACCTGAAAAAATACCGTTTGGAAGTCACTGGCGCCCGTACTAAAAAATAGGGGGGTCAGTGAGTACTGGACCCCCCCTATTTTGATTATTTGACATTTGTTTTTTGTTTTGTTGATCTCAAAAGATGTAACTATTTATGTTGAAATAGTGTACCAAATTTGAACTTAATACCTTATTAATTACTCGAATTATTAAAAAAAATCTGTTTTAAATTTCAAACTTTGTCGCCCTGTATATCGAACATGAAGCTCTAAATTGAAAAATGGTATTATGAAAGTCTTATTGTTTTAACTCAAGGAATATATGGTTAAAGGATTGACCTCCTTTTTCCGGACACCCTGTATAGAGAAATATGCATTTCACGGAAAAATGTCTTAAATAAAAGGTTAATGTGACCAAAGGGGACATTATTTGGTGCTACCGCTAGCCACCCCTACCCCTCCTTAAGTGTGAAACGGGGGGTAACTTTGGAAAGTCAAAAGGGATGACCCGATTTTTTCCACAGATTTTGGTATTACATAAAAAAATGAATAACTTTTATTTGAAAGTTTTTTTCGCGCTGTAATTCAAAATTTAAGAAAAATGGGTTTCCTTGTAAAATGTATTATTTGAAACGTTTGAAAAACAAAAATTAACATTAAATCAACAATAGTCGGCTCTGAAAACAATTTATTACAAATGTTCGAAATGTCGTCCTTCCATTTCGACACCAAGTGGAGCACCAGCGTCCCTGGTCGGTAAACGTTTGGTGCGGTACCTTAAGCGAACGATTAATCGGACCCTTCTTTATTGACGGTGCAATAAATGCCGAAAAGTACCGGAATTTTCTAGAAAACGATCTGACGGACCTTTTGGAGGATGTACCACTAGCACGGCTCCAAAACATGTGGTACCAGCAAGATGGTTGTCCTGCACATTATTCGGCAATTGCTCGAGAGGTGTTGGATCGGGAGTTCAATGGCCGGTGCACCGCGGTGGATCGGTAAACGTGCTCGATCACCTGATCTTACGCCACCAGACTTCTTCCAGTGGGGTTACTTGAAAGAAAAAGTTTACGCTGCAATTCCTACAACTTGGGAGGACATGGTGGAGCGGATCAGGAACGCCTGTGCGGCGATACCGCCCGACATGTTGGCGCGTTGTGTGCCAGAATTCATTACCCGCATTCAAAAATGTGTTGAAATGGAATGACGACATTTCGAACATTTGTTATAAATTGTTTTCATAGTCGACTATTGTTGTTAATGTTAATTTTTGTTTTTCAAACGTTTCAAATAATACATTTTACAAGGAAACTAATTTTTCTTAAATTTTGAATTACAGCGCCATCTGTTGATAAATTGAAAAAAGTTTCAAATAAAAGTTATTCATTTTTTTATGTACTACCAAAATCTGTAAAAAAAATCGGGTCATTCCGTTTGACTTTCCAAAGTTACCCCCCGTTTCACCCTTAAGGAGGGGTAGGGGGTGGCTAGCGGTAGCACCAAATAATGTCCCCTTTAGTCACATTAACCTTTTATTTAAGACATTTTTCCATGAAATGCGTATTTCTCGAGATATTGAGCTGTCTCAAGTTAAAAGAAACACCCTGTATATACGTATATGTACAGTATGTATATATATGTACAGTATGTAGGGTTGCCAAGAGGAGAAACTTCTTTATTTTTCATTTTACGAGAAAAATGTATTCTTCATAATAGTTTTTGCTTGTTTCAAAATGGCTGAATCAGTTTCCACCATTTCAAATTTCCTTTCCGTTAAAGAGAAACATGAAAAAATAGGTTCTTTTAGTTGAATATTTGTTTAAGTCCCAAAAATTACTTTTCGTTTTCATGGCAACAGTTAACAAGACTATTGTTTATTAAGTTTTTATTGCAACAATTCAACAAAAATCAAGTCGTTTCATTGTCAGTCTAAAACTAACATTTATTAAGTTTTTATTACAATTCAACAAAATAATTAAACTACTAATAAATTTCACTCGATCCATTCACCACCTTCATGAACGCATAGCTCAAGTCTGCGACGCAGTTCCCTATAACTGTTTCTGATCTCTTCCAGCGGTAAAGACGCCACAGCACCTCTGATTTTCTCCTTTAAACGTTCTACATTCGGAGGAAGATCATTCGCATAAACTATTTGTTTCAAACGGCCCCAAACGTAAAAATCTGCAATAGTCAAATCAGGGCTCCTCGGTGGCCATAAAACAGGACCATTTCGGCCGATCCAATTCTCTCCAAATTGCTGATTCAACCATTCTACAACTATTCGAGCATAATGGACAGGACAACCATCTTGTTGAAAGTAACACCTTGCACGATAATTAATCGGTAGATCGTCCAACCTTTCATTTAGAAAATGTTGTAACATATCTAAATACGTATGCTGATTAACCGTATTTTCAAAAAAATATGGTCCAATTATACCATGATAAGAAATTGCACACCATACATTAACTTTAGCCGAATATTGTCGATTACGAGCGATTCGGAAATAGGGATTGTGATTGCTCCAGTACCTCACATGCTGAGATGAAACAGTACCATTGGTTGAGAACGTGGCTTCATCAGAAAATATAATATCTCCATAAAAGTATTGATTATCCATGATTTGAGCACCCATCCACAAGCAGAAATCCAAACGTTTTGCGGGATCTCCGTGCTCTAAAGCGTGATTAAAATTTGGTTTGTAAGAATGAATTTTACATTGTTTCAATATTCTTTGAATGTGTGTTTTACTTATCCCCAATTGAAGCGATCTTCGTCGTAAAGAAAGTTTCGGATTATTTTGTATCGAATCCGTTACGATAAGAGTGGAAGCGTCATCTTCATTGCGATCTACCTTAATTTTCTTTACATCCAAAACGGAGACAGTAATTCAGAATTTTTTTATTAATTTTTGTGCACCACATTTTGAGATGTAAATATCGGGAAACTTTTGATTGAATTCTTCTATAACTCGTCGGGTTGCTTTATCACCTTTACCATAGCACTGTATTAAATAAATTCGTTGCTCTTTCGACAACATTGTCATTAATTTTTACAAATTTTCGTTTTAGACTGAAAATGAAACAACTTGATTTTTGTTGAATTGATGCAATGAAAACTTAATAAACAATAGTCGTGTTAACTGTTGTAATTTTTGGGACTTAAACAAATATTCAACTAAAAGGACATATTTTTTCATGTTTCTCTTTAACGGAAAGGAAATTTGAAACGGTGGAAACTGATTCAGCCATTTTGAAACAAGCAAAAACTATTATGAAGAATACATTTTTCTCGTAAAATGAAAAATAAAGAAGTTTCTCCTCTTGGCAACCCTATCCGGGTACATACTGGATATTAAGGTGTTTACAAAAAAATCAATTATTTATTTCTTATACTGGTATTGAAAAATTAATAGTACATTAAAAAACAAAAATGTTGGCGCCTATTTGAGCCCTTAAGATTAATATTAAGGTTTCCCTCAATTCATTTGTTGTTTTCCATTTCAATAACACGGGAATGTGAAATTTTAGTATTTCCAGAATTTTACGTAGAATTTAAAAAGGCAGTAATACTGCCGTGCTTAATGAAAACGCCGTAACCAACAATTTTGCGATTTTTGGTTTACGGCATTTTCTATTAGAACAATTCATCCTGCGTCTATCCCCGGTACTCAAAAAACCGTACGGCGTTTTCATTAAGGACGGCAGAATATTTATATGGTTCCATTTAAAAAAACCAAAGTTGATATCACTTCCGGTTTAACCGGATTGCAGTTTGCTTGAAATTTAAATATTTTCCCCCAAAATATTTACTAGAGATGTAAACTTTACATTACATTACATTGTCACAGTGTCCCTGAACGAAGTTTAGGTCACATAAAAATGACGCCAAAAACGAAAGAATTTTCAAAAAAATTCGAAAAGAGGAGCAGCAAGGATTTTGTTAAATATCATTTTAAAGTTACCAAAGGGTCCCGAACAAGAAACTGCAATCAATAAAAATCGGTGTACAAATCTGTACTCTGGCAAAGGTAGACTTTGCGATAAACAAATAATTTAAAAAAAAATGATTTTTTAACAAATTTAAAGAAAAGCAGATAGAATTTTGGTAAATACCGTTTTTAAATCTCCAAAGAGTGCCGATCAAAAAACTTTAACCAGTTTTCAAAATTGAAAACTTCTAAAAGCCTAAATTAAACAACATTTTAAATATTCTCTAAGCGTTATTTTATTTAATTTTATTAAAAATCTATTTTTTTAATAAAAGGTTAATAAGAATGCCATTTTGTAACCTAATAAACATAGAAATATCTAAAAAAAAATCGGGATACATCTGTTTTGCTTGTTATGCCAAAATCATGAATTTACGCTTTTGCTTTATTAAAATTAAGCGATTTTTGGTCCACCCTGTATATATCAAATGATGTGAACATTATTAAAAAGTATTCTTTAAGTCTCCTCAATAATACATATACTCTAATTTTATAAAAATCGGTGTACAAATGTGTACTCTGTGAAAGGTAGACTTTGAAATAAACAAAAATTTAAAAAAAAATCATAAATTTTGAAAAAATTTCGAAAAAAGGATCAGCTAGGATTTTGGTAAATATCATTTTTAATTCACCAAAGGGTCCCGAACAAGAAACTGCAATCAGTTTTTGGCGTCATTTTTATGTGACTTAAACTTCGTTCAGGGACACTGTGTTGTAAAGTGTTTTTTCTTTTCAAACTTTCTTTTATTAATCCAATCAAGCATAGGTTTGGCCTTTCGGTCCCTTTTTCGCAAAGAAAACAAATTTAATTTTGCAGTAAAATATAATTTAAAATTTTACCATAAACTTGTATGCTGGAAATTTTTCACAAAAAAGGTCATTTAAGTCGAATCTCTAAAATTATAATTTACGTATTCTTTTTAATATTAAAATATTTCATAAAATAAATTATATATTTTATTGTCCCTTTATCTACACGGTGTGCCTGAACGAAGTTTAAGTCACATAAAAATGCCGCCAAAAACTGATTGCAGTTTCTTGTTTGAGTATATACGAATTTGAATGTTTGCATATCAAAAAACCCGTTTTTTTACAACATCTCGAAAACAACGAAGAACATTTTTGCTTGTTATTTTAGTTTGATTCTGTTATATAGTAATATTAAAATACCATTTCATGTTTTTTTTTTTCAGGTAAGACAGTCGTTGGAAGCGTTATCAACTCTATTGATATCCAAAGAGAATCCATTGGTGAGACAGGATGAAACCAGTTCGGCCAGTGACAAGACGACATTGGAAAGTTAGCAAAACTAGAAAACTAGCACAGCTAATTGCCATTTCGAATTGAAAGGACATTTTTTTGATGACCTTAAAAATCCCAACCTGACCAGTATTCTATTAGATTTTTTGGCAATATAAAAACAGACACAAGAAAATAATTTCAAAAGGTTATTTTTGGTTTTTCATTTTTGCCAAAAATGTTCACCATACATGCATATAAACTGGTACATACATAGGCAGAAATACTGATAAGTAAAAATTGATAGAATCCCGTACTAAAAACCTAAACAGTATTTTCAAGTAATAGATTTATTGGCAATAATATAAAAAAATAAAACTAAACTAATAACAAAAAGTAAATACATTAAAATAGGTCCTTATTGTTACTACATTTTGCCAAAATGTTGTTGCCATACATTTATAAATCTAGGTAAAATAATGCACATTTTAAAATTAAGCTCAAGAAGATTTTCATTTTAATGTAACAACAGTTTAAGGCTCAAAAATTTTAGTTTAGAATTAATTTATTTAACAGCTATAATTAGAATTTTTTGGTTTTAAGGTCAGAATTCGTGAAATCAAAATGGTTACCATTGTTTTTTGTCAAAATGTTGAAAAAAATATTCCATTTGAACATAAAAATTAATCTACACAAACATTTTTTTTAGAAAGGTCACATAAAATTTTTGGTACTTTGCAAACAAAATCTAGTATTCTTGAAAAAGTAAATCAATTTTGATGCAACTTTGGCTATGGAAAAGTGTTCTAAAATTTCCAAACAATTATTTTTTTTATAATAATTTATCAATTTTTGAAATTGTTTCAATCATAATTCTAAGGTTATTGCCGCTCAAATTTTATCGGAATTTTAAAAGGCCCAGAAGACGAAAAAAATAAATATTTTCAAAAAGTTTGATAAATTATGAAAAAAATAAATTTTTGTAAATTTTCAAACAATTTTCCACATTCCAAATTTGATTACTTTCGATATGCTAAAGTTTCATCAAAATCGATTTATTTGGTTCAGTAATAACTAGATTTTGTTTATAAAATTAATACAAATTTCATTTGACAATAACTTGCTTATTTTTTAATAAAATAAAAAAGTGGTAAATTAATTTTTATGGTCAAATAGAAAAAATGCTGATTTCACGAATTCGGACCCTTAACGCATTTTATATATACATCGTGGCACAAAAAATCTACTCAAACTAGATTATTTTTGTTACACCCTGTAGATGAATTTTTTTGGCTTATTTTAAGCTTGCAGAACAAATTTCTTGATAATTTGATTAATTTTCGAGTAATTTTTCTCGCTAGGTTTTAAACATAATAATAAAAAACAATAATATGGGTAGGCCTAAATCTTAAACATGGAAATGTTTTTATGTATACCTTATATAGGGTGCCCCAAAAATGTTGATTATTTTCAAGTTTTGGTATTTTAATATAAAAGGATTGAAAAAACAAAAAGTTAACCAGTTTTTATTTTTAATTTCTTTTGTATTATTTTTGCGACACCCTGTATACGATTTTAGAGGAAACCCACTAGTACAAATAATTTCGATTCCAAGTAAATAAAATTTTCAAACTTATAACAAAGGGGTTAGGCTAGTTGTGTATCATATACACATTATGAGTTTGGTAGTGCAATTTTGCATTTATTATTTTAATATTTTATACTGTTTTATGAGGTATGCAATAGAATGGGAACTGAATGTGATGATGTCGTTAAATGAGGGTTTGACCGACAAAATCGTAAATATTAGTCATATACTTTGTAGTTTCTTATGCAATAAGGTATTAAAGTAATGATGTTAATATTTAGCATTTTGTTAATTAGTGTTTAATAGGAATAAACACACTGAACAGTTTTTGTTCCAGCAAAATCTGTTGATTGAGGGACTGTGACATAATTTATTATCTTATATATAATTGTATATTTTTTGTAGGTAGTTTTGTATAGCTAAATTATATGTAAATGTACATTTTCAGTTTTATTTAAATTTTGATGTATCATACCAACCTTGTTATTAATTATCGTATACTAAAATATTTATTGTCTAGATAATTATAGTTGGTTCCTTATTGTTGGCCTTTTTTCTTTTTATTATTATTTATAAGGATTATTTTGTTGGAATATTTGTTGTTTAAATATTTTTAATATAGTACAACCTGTGATATCTTATTTGTTTTTGCTTTTTCCAATAAACATATGGTGTTTCACAATAAAAATGTTTTTTATTTTAATATAAAAATTATATTTTTAAATGGATTTCTAACATATACAACTAAAATACATATGGGTCATTTCACGTTAAATCAAACACATTAATGGAAAAAGTTCACCACTTTGATTTTTTTTTAATTTTGTACTTTGCAACTTTAAAAAAGGTGTTATAAGAAAAAAAACTGGAACATGAGTCAAAAACTACAAAAGTTAATAACTTAAAAGTTATTATTTTAGTATTTGGAACGTTTATGCATGGTACTAACCAAAACTACCGTAAAGTAAATTAATCGGCCATTTTTTACTGTACAGTACCTGTAAATAATAAATTATTTTATTTGTTTGTAAATGGTTTTTTACTTTTAAATAAATAGTAATTTTGTTGGAAATAGATGATATTAATAATTAAATAAAAAATTAATAATAAATATTAAGATTTTTTTATTTATAAACATTTTTAAATTAATAATCTGTTTATACTTAAATTTTGATGAAGCGCATTTATTTTACAAAAACTAAATTCAAAACTCAACAGTAAAATTTAAAGGGTTTTTAAATTTACCTGCCTAATTAACCATTATATTGTCATTCTGGAAGTTATAAACTACCAGTACCTACATATTTAATAAACGACGACATTGAAAAGCCAAGTCCGTAGTGGTTCCATTTAAAAAGGGGGGGATAGTATAATTTAATATAAGTTTGACAAAGACAGTTAATATAGAAGTAAAAACAAATAAATAAAAGTAATTATAACCCTGTAGCAACGATATTGAAACGTTCTAGTAACGTAGCAGCTACGTTCCAACTTAGTAATGAAGGAGTAATATAAAGAGACCGGCGACTGTCGCAAAACACTTTAAAGTTTCTTCAATAGTCCCATATACGTAACAAATACTTAAATTGTTGCTTGGGGTACCCCAGATATAATTATAATTGAAGGGGTAAGAAGCAAAACAGTTCAAGTCCATTTTAGCATGAAAATAAGTTAAGTAACTTATTTTCATGCTTCATGCACTTAAGTGCAGAATTGGGTAGTTTAAGAGTCCATTTTTTTTTAATATTTTCATAACGTGAAAATTGTACGAGTTCTGCATATTGATTAATGCAAACGACAATATTAATTTCCATATTTTTGTATATAGCAAAAACTTTAAAAGTTTAAAAAATGTTTGCTTCTTACCCCATCAATTATAATTTCTGAATTTTCAAAACAATTTTTGAAGTTTTAGTTTTTAAAATATTCAAAATTTATAAAATATTTAAATTTACAAAAGAATTGTAAGATTTTTAAAATTAATTTCCAAAAGTGTTGAAAAGTTTAAATTACCTACCTATCGCTACCTATATAAAAAAATTTAAATTTAAATCAATTTAAATCAATTTAATTGGTAATAGGATAGAATAGAATAATTTTGTAAATTGTAAAATGTAAATACCTACATAATTTTATTTAGTGAAAATTACTTTACTTTTTATTTTTATCAACATACCCGCTTAAAAAAACCGATTAAAAAAAAATACCCTGCCGTTTGCACTGCTATATTTCGCGATCACTACTAAAAAACGAACAGATTAATTTAATTATGTTTAAATAAATAATTTACATGCATATTTTTATTAGTTAGTTACACCAAAGAAGTATACCTTACAAAAATACAAAAATGAGATTAAAATTAATTAAAACAAAAACAGATTTTCATTTCTCAATTGAGAAATTTATTAATAAATATGAATAAAATGTAATAAAGAATAGGTTTTTAACATATGCAACCAACATCACACCTAGAATCTTTAATGCTGTTGAGTTGGCACAACTTCAAGGTCAATGCGTATAAACGTCAAATCTGACATTTCAAAAATAATGTGATTTTTTCACTTTTAAATTTAAATATAAAAGCCTCTGCGATGGACGACAATTCAATGTCGGAAAGAATACTGAAAAAAATCGAATACATCATAAACCACGATTCAGACTTGTATGTAAACCGAATAATCACACTAATTAAATAATTGTGTTAATTGTTTTGCAGGCAAGAATTCACCATTGTTCCTACTGAAGAGAATACGAGTAACAAATCTCCTGTTTTGTATATGGACCATAATTTAGGGTTAGAATCGTGGTGCGTTAAATACGTGTACAGACATGCTTGTGCCGATTTATTTGAGGTGCGGTCAAAACTGGCCAAAAGAAAACTCTCTTATCCGAACATGGAAAAACTTAATTATTTATTAATGGGTGCTTTACTAATACACCCTGATGTCTCTACCTTTTGGGCGATGAAGAGGGAATTGGTGCAAGCTGATGTAATAAGTGCCGAACAAGAATTGTTTTTCTTGAAGATAGTCTTAAGTTATAAAAGTAAATCAAATGAAGCCTTTTCGCATCGAAGATGGTTGTTGAAGAGGATATTACAGAAGGCACATGTTAATCAAGCTGAAAGAGTGAATTATTTATTGCATAATGAGTTTTTAGTTACGGAAATGGCAGGTAAATATTTAAAGATAAGTTTAATATGAATTTAAAATTAAAAAATAAACTAAAATCTTAATAATTATTAAGATTTTGGTTTATCTTTTTTCATATTAAACTTAAATTAATTACCCGAGAATGTACTTATTGAAAGGCTTGTTAAAATTGAAAATAATTTATTTTACTGATTTGATATTTTAAACTTATGTAATGTGATGCAGATGCCACTATTTTTAATTAATAATAATAATAATAATTGAAAGGTAACTTTTAAACACTAAAACATAAAAAACAATTGTAGTTCACTTTTGAATATTTACTAATTTATAAAGTAAATTTTGAATATTAATAAACAACTGTTTATGAAGTAAAGTTAATTTTTTTGACTGCGGCAACGTTGCAAATTTAGGGTTTTGGTTGGTAAATACAGTTGTCAAGTTGGTCGCATGGATTAAAACAAACTAAGCTAGTTATAAATCTAATTGTGGTTATGTATAAATTATTGCAGTTGTCAAGTTGAGTTGTCGAAATTCGTAGTTAAAAATGCAATTAATTTGGCTTTGGTGGTGCTTGGATGAGTAAAATCATATAAAAAAAGTAGTTAAATATAGGTTGCTTTACGGCCCAGAAAAGAAAGTATAGTAGATAATAATCTTCGCTTTGAAAAGAATTTTTATAAAAGAAATTAAATTTTTTTGTTAACGTAAATGTTGTCCAATGGTGAATAATGTGAAAATAATGTGTGATGTAATATTTATAAAACCAAATTCGTTACTTTTTTACTCCAAAAATGTCCATAAGGCCCTCAAAAGGGCTTGGGTTGCTATTATTATTATTTTTGGCATAATTATCTTTTTATTTATAATTGACAAGTAAATTATCAATAATAAATATTATTGTCAGTTTGACAGTGTCAAAGTATTTAATTAAATTCTTTAGCAGAAGTACCTACCATTTTTAAATACTAAAAATGGCATAAGTCCAGATAAAAAAAAATGAACTGTATGTTACTTAAAATCAATAAACTTCCCTTCTCAATTTAAATAAAGGAACTGAAAAGTAGAATTTATTATACAAACACAATTAATTGTGTTCTAAAGGATATTTAGACATACATATAGGTACTAATACAATACAAATGTCACTTTACATTCGTGTTTTGCCTTACCAATGAAAAGATTCATTTTCTAAGTAACGATGCCACTACAAAATGTAACTTTTACTTATTCGTCGTAGAAAATAGTTATTTGTTTTACAAGTGTTGAAAAGCGACTTTTTCATGCGAGTATTTAAGTTGCTCACGAGGCCGTCAGGCCGAGTGTGCATTAATACGAGAAGAAATCTTTTCTCACAAGTGAAACACAATGTTTTTGTACGACCCTTTTATTATTTATTACCTATATTCAAATTCAAAACAAAATAACCTAAAAACGTGTTGGACAGCTGGTTTCATCTTATTCTTTTAATTTTTAAGGTATAAGTTACTTAAAATCAATAAACTCACCTTCTCAATTCAAATAAAGGCACTAAAAATTGGAATTTAGTATGCAAACACAATTAATTGTCTTCTAAATAATATTTAGACATACATAACAAATTCAATACAAATTTTGAAACGAATGTCAAACGATGCTGTCAATTTCTTTTCACACAGACCTGTCACTTTTCACACAGAAATGTCACTTTACATTCGTGTTTTGCCTTGCCAATGAAAAGATTAATTTTCTAAGCAAACAATGCCACTACGAAATGTGACTCTAGTGACTTAGTGGTAGTAGAAAAAAATATTTTCTTGGAATCTGTGCTGTAAAAAATCTGAAATGATGATAAATTTCAAATGGAGATACGACTAATACTACTAATCTAAATTTTATATTTTCACATTTTTTTTTATAATTTTAGCAAATAAAAGTCCCAATAATTACCACTGTTGGAATCATAGGATTTGGTGCATGGAAAATTTGGGCAGTAACTGTGAAAACATCGAAACCATCATACAAAGCGAGCTGCAACTAAACTCAAAATGGTTAACTGAACATGTGTCGGAACACACAGGTTATCACTATCGCCAGTATTTAATAAAATTAGTAAAACATCTTCCAAACATGAAGGATTTTAGTTTGCAGTATTTGGCAAGTCTTACCAACGTTTTAAAGGTAAAAGACCCCACTTCAACGTTGTTTAATTTGCTGGGAATTAGCAATAAGTCGTTAGATGATTTACATATGACAATAAATGTAGTTTCTTTGTTAATTTATGATTTGGCAGTATTGTTAAAGAATTTGAATACTTTTTATGAAGGCCACGAAAGCTTGTGGTATCATCGTAGGTTTGTCATTAGAGAGTTAATAAAAATAATGCATGAATATTCGAATACGCCTTTCAATGTGAACAATAAAGTGAACGATTTATATGTTAAAGATGAGAAAAATATAATCCAAAGTTGTCTTCTTAGCGATAATTTAAGTAACTCCAGCGAAAACGGGGAAAAATTGCCAAAACAAAAGAAAGTCATGCCAAACAAGGTCGAATCAGATGTACCGCTTTATTTTATTTTAATCGACTTGGAAAGAGATTTTGTCAGGAAAAGTTGCGAGAATAAAAGAAATTTAGTACAAATTGAGAATGCCAGAAGGCATGAGCAGTGGTTAAGATTATTTTTAGGTATTAATTTAGTTTAAGAATTTCAGTTAACATGGTGGATCCAAAAATAAACCTATGACACCACATTCTATTTTAAAATTATACACTCACAGGCAAAATAATCGATCCACACAAATTTTCGATGAATTTCAATCGCAAATAACTTTTTTATTTGATTTCGGATTTAAACAAATATTAAAGAATATTGTAGATACATTAATGGAGAATCGCTCACATTTTAAAAATTACTAAAAAATACACGTACGTTTATAATATACAGGTTTAAACAAAAAGATGTTTTTTACCATAAGTTTAAGACACTCTGTAGAGTGGCAAAACCGTATATTGTTCTAAATTAAGTTTTAATTATCAAGTCACATCTATTTTGAACAGGTTTGTTTTTGGTTCACCTTGATATATTTATTTTTGTGGAAAATATGGATTTTTTTAAAAAAAACATTGCAATTTCCAATATTTTTCCTGTATGAAGAACTAAGGTTGCTATGGTCCATCCATAGCCTATAGAGGATGACAGTAACAGTTTTGTTGAATCATCCCATACTTGGACATGTCATATACAGCTTTCAAAAATTATGAAATTGTTTTTTGTAAATTAATGTGTTAATTTTGAGGTGTCTTCTTACTTTTAAAAATGTCTCCCAATGATGTTGCCCTTTGTACTTTACTTCTTGTGACGATTAAAACCCTTGCCACGTAATATTGTGACCGTCCATCCTGGATTAAATTAATGGCTCTGGCAACATCAGTCGGAGACATATCCATTTTTTAAAGTAAGAATTCTTAAGACACCTCAAAATTTAAACATTAATTTGCAAAAAACAATTTGATAGCTTTTGAAAGCCGTGTATGACATGTCCAAGTATGGGATGATTCAACAAAACTGTCACTGTCATTCTCCATAGCCTATGGATGAACCATAGCAACCTTAGTTCTTCATACAGAAATTGCAAAGTTTTTTTTAAAAATCTATATTTTCCACAAAAATAAATATATCGAGGTGAACCAAAAACAAAACTGTTAAGAATAGATGTGACTTGATAAATAAAACTTAATTTAGAACAATATACGGTTTTGCCACTCTACATAGTGTCTTAAACTTATGGTAAAAAACATATTTTTGTTTAAACCTGTATATTATAAACGTATGTCTATTTTTTAGTAATTTTTTAAAATTTGAGCGATTGTCCATTAATTTATCTACAATATTAATAAAGAATTCTTTAATATTCGTTTAAATCCGACAATAAATAAAAAAGTTATTTGCGATTGAAATTCATCGAAAATTTGTGTGGATCGATTATTTTGCCTGTGAGTGTATTTACAGGATGTGTAATTGTACCCAATTAAAAAATATTAAACTAACTAAATAGTCCAAATATTGCTCCTTTCTGAGATACGGATATTTCTTAAACATATATACAGGGTCCTTCATAATGATCCTAATCCTTGGATAATTTTAAGGAAAAAGTTTATATTAAATCAATCACTTTATTTTTTAATTTAATGTTTCTGGCATTCTAGATCATTTAGCGCGGAGGCCCCTGGCAGAAGAACAAATAATGCCCTGACAGACATAACTTTTGCCCTGGCATAGAATCTTAAACTATTTTAATATTTAATATATTTTTTAATATAGCAAAGTAGAAATTTGCCAAGTGAGCCCATGATTTTCAAAGTTGTCATAAAAATTAAGAAAAAAAAATGTATAGTATAGTAGAAAATTACCACAAAATTAAAAAAAAACCTTAATTTGTTTATTCACAATGTATGATTTAAAAAAATCTGTTGCATTTGATTTAAAAATTATTTTCTTGTCAACTATTTACAAAAGTTTAAAGAAAATTTGTGAGAAAAATATACCTATGCAATCAACAATAAAATGTTCAAAAACGTGCCATTATTTTTTTTGGCCCTGCTCTTTCTACAAAAATTTAAAAAAATAATAGTTGGAAGAAGCTTTGAAATTTAAGTTAACAGGTGCATCTTTGCGTACGAAATATTTAATAAAATGCTGATCACTTAACAAAAAATATTGAAATTGTCCTTAAAAATTCTTAATTCAAACTTACCAAGATGTAGTAAGAACTTTTTTCCGTTATTACATTTGAAAAATTGCCAAGTTTTAAAAAGACCACAGAAAGAAGCAATATTTGAATGATGTTTTGAAATTTTGATATACGCTAAAGAAGTATCGCAGGTAGCCCCACTACTCGGCTGTTATCATCGTAACAAAAATAGAATTTTTAATAATCAGCTGTCAAACGCTTAGGTTACAAACGAGTGTTTTTGAGAATAAAGCCGGATAATGTTAAAAAATATCGAAAAAAAAACGTGGATCGATTTGTTGTGTTGCTGGGTGTATTTCGAGAGGAAATCCTAGGTTGAGCTTTTACCGGTTTTCCAATAAACCGTTATAATCTGAATAAAGAAATAAATTGCATACAGTCTCTGTAAATATAAATTGTACCTATTAGATACAATAAATACACATTTTAGTAGTGATTAGCGTGAAAAGTGTAAACATTTCAATTCAATAAAAATCGTCCAACAAATAAGTCGTCTAAATTTAAACAGCATTTAGCATTATTAAAAGCGTTGATTAAGAATAAAGTCTCCACTCAACGGTAAAATACCATTATATTATGTATTATATATAATATTATGTTTCCATGAATTCGTAGGTATATTTTGTTGTTTAAAATGCAGTTGTCGGAGAACTCAAATTAAAAAATGATTGATTTTAAGGTTATGTTATGCAAAAATTATTTTTTACTAATTTCTTAAAAATGTCCAAACTTAAATATAAATTATAATAGGTAAAGATATCATTACTTAATTCTGCACCAACAAATGTACTTACTGAATTGGATCCTTTGGCAAAACATGAAAATGCAACGATTTAGTTTTTATTTACAATTAAAAACACACACTAACGTATACGTATACCTATATAAGCATTTAAGCGTTGAGTTTCTTAATCAATGATATAAGGAATAATCAATCGAAATCGAGTACCTAGGTACTAAAAAAGTTTTTTAATTTTTTTCCTGCAACATAAAACACAAATAAGGTGCGCGATTTAGCTGTACAATTGAACAAAATTTGTCGAGTAAGACATCCTCTCTTTTGTAAAAAAAACTACCTCTTTATTTAAAAATGATGTATAATCGGTGCTTTAAATTTATTGTTGACAATTCTTAAATTCACGCAATGCATTCGAAGTCCACCAGATGGCGCGCGCGTTGCGAAAACCCGATATTTTTTTAGCGTATACTTAATCTTTTTAAACATTTAATTAACTTTTTTGATATTTCCAGACAACGAGATATTTTATGAATCTGTTTTCTACTTCATTTTTGTTAAATAATTTGGTTTCTGCCATTTTTATTTTTACATTTACATATTTACAAGAAGTTTATTTTTTGACCCACCATTTATAACTTCACATGTGTTCTATATTTTAATGATTTGTATACATTTGTTATTTTTTTTATATTTTATTCAATATATTGTTTATATTAAATAGCGGATTTTATTAATTAAAATAACCAAGTGATTTGGAAAAAAACGAAAAAAAATATATTTGAATATTTTATTAATAAATCTTTAATTTAATTACAGTGTTTTTTGGTATGGTTTATATACAAGTTGTATATTAATAAAATTATATACAGTGAAGTAAGCTTAAAAATAAGAAAAACAGTGAATTATACCTATCTATAAAAAAATTATTGGTTTCATTTAAGGACGTTATAATTTTATATATTTTTAACTTTTTATTCATAAAACTTTTAAAAACAATAAAATCTATTATTTTAGACAAATCTCTCAAACTAACATACTTTGGAATGTTTTAAGTGTACAAAACAGTGCTTTTTATAAAAACTAGGGAAATGAGGTATACAAAAATATGGCACCTAACACATACAATTATTTTTAATTTTATCGCAAATATTTAAATATCAGTCAATAAGTACCTTTTTTGGTAAAACAGAGTTTTGCTAAAATAATTTTAGTAATTAAGACTTTAGGGTGAAATACTTGGTTTGAAATACTTGGTTATCAGTTAAAATATATAACCCCAAATTGGGTGAAACTTTTTTTAAACATTTTAAAGAATTTTTTTACCCAACCAAAAGTTTTTCAGAAAATGGATCTTTATTTTTAAAATTTCTATAACTTTTTTAAAAATTGACTTTCGTATTTCTTTTCAAAATATTTGTTTTTAAATGTACTTTTTAGAAAAATATAGAAAAAGTTATTCAGACCAATCTTCAACGTTTTTTTTTCGGAAAAAACGAAAATTTCTCGATATTTTTCTTTTCTTTTTTTTTAAACTTGTCATTTGCAAATTGGTGTTTTCAATTTTTTTTACTCGGATAATTTTTTATTATAGCAATCTGGAGATTTTTGAAGATGTTGAGAGAACCTCAAAGTTTGAAAAAATAAAAATAAATGAAATTGTGGTAATCATCGAACCAAATTTCAATGTTTTTTGAAAACGTTAGAAAAATAATAGAAGATTGTTCTGAATAATTTTTTAATGTATAGTGTTGGCCATAAATTTTGCAACCACTGTAAAAAAAATGTAACTCTAAAACGCCATTATTATTCTTTATGATATTTTGGATAAAAATACTTATACCTATCTCAGTTTACGTGTTGGAGGGTTTTTCGAGAAAATATTTTTAAAGCCCTTTTATTTAATAATGAAAAAACGTTCGAAAAATAACTTTTAGGGAATTTTTTTAAGTAAGTAATAAGATCGTATTTTTGTTAGTATACTCTGAAAATTTTGTACAACTCAAATGAACAGGAACAAAGATTCGAAGTCGTCAAAAATGACCACTTTTCATCAAAATAATCAAAAAGGGGCCATTTTTACCGACTTTGAAGCGCTTCGTTACTTTTCGTTTAATTTGTACAAAATTTTCAGGGTATATTAACAAAAATACGGACTTTAAGCATATTTATATTTATTAAAAAAAAAATTTTCCTTAAAAGTTATTTTTCGAACGTTTTTTCATTATTAAATAAAGGGCTTTAAAAAAAATTTCTCGAAAAACCCTAGAACACGTAAACTGAGATATATTTTAATCCAAAATTTCATAAAGAATAATAAAGGCGTTTTAGAGTTAGATTTTTTTACAGTGGTTGCAAAAATTATGGCCAACACTGTATATACATTATATTATTATAATATATGTTATTTTAAAATTACATTTAAAAACAAAGAAAATTAATAAAAAATGTTATTTGGGACAAACATTTCAATTTCAATTGGTATTATTTTTTCAAACTGTGGTATTATGAGAAATGAGTTAATTTTTTTTAATTGAAAAAAAATTATTGAAAATTTCAGAAAATTCGCGCGTTCAGTTTCTAAAAAAATTAAGTTTTCGTTGTTTTTAATTAAAAAAAAAATTGAAGATCGGTCTTAATAACTTTTCAATATTTTTCTGATAGTACGTTAACAAGAAATTAAAAAAAACGTCTCGCCAAGATTTTTTTGTTGGAAAAAAAAATTATAGGGAAGAAAAAGATAAAAAAAAATCAGCCAACTCAAAAGGAGTCAGGGTCAAAAGTGGTCGATATAATATTTTAACTGAATACCTATATTTAATGGACATTTTTAATTTAAGTAAAATTTTTATGGAAACACAAAACTTCAATACATTATTTTGTTAAATATCAAGATTTTAAACTCAATTGTGTATAATATGAGCATTCTAAATTTTTTGCCAGAATAAAATTTGAAGTTAAGTTTTAAAAATGTAATTGAAATATGATTGTTATTTAGGCATAAAAAGTAGAGTACTTATTATTAAGATAAATTTATTGCTCATTACTTTTTACAAAAGCTTTTTAGCAAAAATATACACCAATACATAAAGCAAAAAAAAGTTATTTTTCATTTAACTTTTTGATTTAGTTGGTGGTCGGTTAAATTATAACCAATAAAAATCGTAAAAAAGAACCCAATCACTTTTTCTTTTGGAGCGCTATATTTCCCAAACGGTCCTACGTACGAAAAAATGTATTTTACCTTTTTTGTAGAGAATTTAAGGATCTACATTTTAAATTAAATATATTTTAATGTAAGACCAATGGAATGCGATAAATTTGCCAAAATACGTAAAATCAATACAAAAACAGTGAATGGGTTATTGTTATATTTATTATAATATAATTTACGAGGTTAATATGAGAAAAAATGCGAACAAAAAAATCAAAATAAACGCGACTCTACACACTACAGTATTTCTATACGCGGAGCTGTGCACAAACGGCCCCCCTCTTCTCGAAGTGAACCATTGGTGCATATCGGACAGTTCTCCGAAGCCGTGTTGATTTTTCGTTTGGACTAGGACTTCGTACACGGAGTCGGCTTCTAGATTTTTGATGAGGAACGATTGCGTCCGCTCGCAGCTGGCCGCGTTGTACGTTTGAGACGGTTTCACTGACAGGTCGTGCCACTGGCCGGGAAGGTGATAAGAGACGTTCATCTGAAGAAGACGGAAAGTTTCAATTAAGAAGTTTGAAAACTGTTAAAGTTACAAAGTGAATCAATAAAACAAATTTAATTGAATGCATTTAATAAAAGAGTCAATCCAAATGAAAACACCAAAAATGAATTTAAAAGTGCGCTGCATGATTTTTTATTTTAATGAAAAAATTTGAGGATGATCTTTTAGGTATCATATGAAAAACCGTTGCCGTTTTAATAATAATAATAATAATGTTTATTTATTCTCAGGATCGCAATGGATATAGAATAAGTCAATATAAATGCATTCATATTACATAATACATGGTAAAATACAAAAAAATACTAACATTAATTATAATCAATCTGAAGACATATAGGTACGAACAAACTTCCTTTACTTAGTAAACAAATCATTCACACTATAAAAACATTTGCCAACAAGAAATTCTTTTAATGCCTTTTTAAAAAATCGTATATTCTTATGTCTGGTGGAAGTCCGTTATAAATTTTAAGACCAAGTCTGGATGGAGAGTTTGACGTGACATTGCACCTACCAAAAGGTATTTGATAATGATTTTTATTTCTGAGATCATGTTCATGTATACACTGTATGTATACACTGATACCTCAAAGATAAAAAGAGAGGGCAAAGTCAATAAATTATATTGTTTAAAAATTTGTCTGCATGAATAGGTTGATTTGACACCAATTAGGCATCTTAACACTAATTTTTGTTCGTAGACCTTCCCCAAAAGCATATGCCATATCGCAATCTCGAGTCTACTTGCGCGTAATATAGATTAACTAATTGATGTGCATTTAATATGTCCTTTAATGATCTAAACATGTATGATATTGAGGATATGTTCCGTAAATACACACGAGTTACCGGTCTGGTTACTGAAATAAATTCCTGGTTTTCTCGGTTAGTTCATATTTACGGGACACCTTTATTTAAAAAAAACATAACCCAACTTTTATTTGTGTCAAAAACTACAACTTGCATATATTTTTAATAATATTTCTATAGTTACATAAACAAACCTAAAACACCCTATATACTGAATTCAATTATTTTTGGACAAAACGTATTTTGTATGCGAAGTCTGCTCCTGTGTTAAATTTTTAGGTTAGATAACCAACAAAAAACAGTAATTTTGTTTAGGGCAACACTGTTTCCATTTGGTTTGCAGCACTGGTAACCGATTTAACCGATCATACAGCGTCGGTCGTTTCGGTAACGATTCGTTAACCTATTTTTCAGGAACCGCGTTTCTTAACTACATAATTTTCAGGAATTTTTTATTTACGGGACACCTTAACCGAAACCAAACCAACCAAGTTGATTTACGGAACATACCCTGAATGTAACTTGGAGGCCAAATAATGGCAGTGTTTTTTCCAAGTAAGACATTCGTCAATTGTCACTCCCAAAAATTTTGTCTTGTTATTTTCAATGGTAAAAGTATCAATACTTAGATTAACCTTGTTGATCATTTTTTGTCTATTGTGAAATCTGACATAATTTGTTTTTTCAGGATTAAAATATAATACATTTTTACTATACCAGTCATTAAGCTTCTCTAGCACCCCATTACATTTTTTTTCTAATAGATTATCATTTTCGGCTGATATTTTTAATGACGTATCATCAGCATACAATGTGATTTTTTCCACATCATTAATATAAATTAAGAATAAGACAGGACCCAATATAGAGCCCTGTGGTACGCCCATGGTAATATTTAAAAAATTTAAATTTACTGTACCAGAAATATTATTAACAATACTAGGTACGCTTACATATTGTTGTCTTCCCTTCAAGAATTTTCCAATCCAGTCTAAGGGAATACCTCTAACCCCATAAGCATACAGCTTCTCCAACAGCCTTTCATGAGACACGCAATCGAATGCCCTACTGAGATCACAAAAGATCCCAATAGGACACTCTCCATTTTCAATATTCTCAATTATCCCCTCATAAATGGACATCAGAGCCGTTGCCGTAGACCTATTTTTAATAAAGCCATGTTGATTAGATGTTATAATATCAAATTTGCTTAAAAATTTAAGCAGTCTATTTATAGTTTTAATTTTTAGTTGCTTTATTTTCAATCGGCACCCTTTAGAAACCTGAAATCGTTTCATTTTCTTACTCTTTTATAAGAGGCTAAAACTTTTTTTCTGTGGCAATTATTGAAATTATTGTAATTTTATTTTACTGCCTAGTAAGTATGTTTTCAATATTAATTATTATTATCTAATTAGTTCATCTCATAAAAGAATGGTAAACCACTAAAGTTTTGTAATAATTTGCCAATTTTTGTTATTTTTGCCTGGCTCCTGTGCCTAATCTGCCAAATCTAGAAAGTTGATTTTTTTCAGGTATCAAGTTCTTATAGAATAGAAAACTATTATTTTAAGTTTCTAGACTATAATTTTCAAACTTTCAGGAAATGTAGTCCCCACCTTCATCTTTTCAGTCTATTAGTCTTGTTTTGTTATTTTTATCCATGTAAAATATATAATAATTTTTTTAATGCAGTTAAGAAGCGATATTGTTAGTTTTATTTATAATTTAAAATTTAGATGGCTTTGACTTAGTCAATTCATGTTTGGTAGAGAAATGTCAGAACTGTCAAAAATATTTCATAAATATTATTTGTGCGTATTTAAATTGTGATTTCAAAAAGTTTGCAAGTTTGCAAGTGTAATAAATGACGGAGTGTTCGAGATTCATGAATTTAATTGCAATTAAAAATGCAAGAACATATCAGTGGCGGCTCGTCAGGGTAGGCCTCTGAGGCCGCGCCTCACCCTTAAAATGAAGGAACGAACGACTTTTTGTATTTATATTTTTGCCTATTACAAGTGTATTTTTACAACAGTTCTACCCAATAAAAAGTAAAAAACCAATCAATAATATTAAGCGTAAATAAAAATCCAGGCGCAAAGCGCGTCAAGTTAACGTGCATCGTTGAGAGTCGCTTGTTGTATGTATCTTGGCTTGGACAGAGGCGAAATTTTCACAGCCTCGGAAGCTCCCATTTACGTCTTGAAAGCGAAAATGACTCACCAACAAAAATATCGCCGTAAGTTCGCGAATAAACACCGTAGATGAGGCGTAATTTAGTTAGCTTGGTTTGTTCTGATTGGTGGTCCGTTTATGGTGGGATGCCAGCGGAGACAAAGAAGGTTGCCAGTCTTGTCTTAGCGTTTGTAGAGCACGTTATTGTTTTGATTCAGATTAAATTATTTAAAACTTTTGGCTGATCTTTTATAGTTTTTGTCTCGATTAGTAAAATTTCTTATTTAATTATTGTAGGGAACACACTAAGGTAGATTTAGCAGTTTTTATTAAGCAAATTTTATATTTTGAAATAATAGATTGCATAATTCTTCAATTAGAGACGCGGTTTGAAAATTTAGAATTACTTTTAAATCTCACTGCAGACCCACAATTTTACGACCAAATAATAGATAAATTTTCAATCTTAAAAGATAGACGTATAGTATTTTATATTTTTTAATACTTAGGTAGGGGTCGACTTTTTAGTTTAATTTTTATTTTTTGATTAATTTATTTATTTTTAACTTTTTTAAGACTATATTTTTAAGTTTAAGATTAAAACTAGTCTTTGATGTGATATTTTGTTTGTTTTGTTTTTTAGAGTTTATTTTTTGGTTTAGTAGTGCTATCGGCTCCATTTTAAAAAAGGTCAACGCGTCGGAGAATAATACCTCCCGGGTGACGTGGAAATTTATTCGTATTTAGACAAAATTAACCTTATGTAGCCTCACCCTCCTGTACACCCACGAGCCGCCACTGGAACATATCATAATTTGTACCTCTTTAAAGAGAATTCTCATAGAAATTATTCAAGTAAATAAAACTAACAATATCGCTACTAAACGGGCATTAAAAAAATTAATATATCTTTTAAAGGAATAAAAATAACAAAACAAGACTACCTGGACTGAAAAGATGAAGGTGGGGGACTACGTTTCCTGAAAGTTTCAGATTTTTATTTTTTCCTCAACATAATGATTTCTGAGGGCAAAATTGACTAATTTCAAGAATTATCAAGTTTCAATAATTTTTTTAATAAAGAAAATGATAGTTACGTTTTCTATTGATACTTGATACCTGAAAAAAGCAACTTTCTAGATTTAGCAGAATAGGCACAGGAGCCAGACAAAAATCACAAAAATTGGCAAATTATCATGAATCTTTAGTGGTTTACCATTTTTTTATGACATTAACTAATTGAATAATAATATTTTTTATCGAAAACACACTTACTGAACAGTAAACCAAAATTAAAATCATTTCAATATTTGTCACAGAAAAAAAGTTCTGGCTCACTATAAGAGAGTAAGAAATTGACATTTCAGATTTCTAAAGGGTGCCGATTAAAAGTAAAGAATCCAAAAATTAAAACGGCAACGGATTTTCATAATTGATACCTAAAAGATCATCCTCAATTTTTTTTATTAAAATAAAAAATCATTTGGTGTTTTTATTTGGAATGACTCAAAACATAAAGTGGATTGCCATATTAAGGAAGGTAGCAATTTCTTCCAATTTCGAAGTTTTGAGCATAATAAAATATTAATATATGAATCAAAACAGCACTATTTAAAGTTTCACTGTTTTATTCATCTTTAAAAAAACAATCCCAAGTAGCATTTATAGTGGGTAAAACGTGTTTGCCACTTATTATTGGAACTGTAAAGTACAAGGTGTGTTCAGAAAAAATATAGGGAATTTTCGTTTTTTGAAACAAATATTTATTTATTCGTCTACATTAATGTTGTCGCCTTCAAAATAGTCCCCATTGGATATTATGCACATGTGCCAGCTCTTCTTCCAATACCCTAAACACTTCTAAAACTCGATCTTTGGGATAGCTTTTAGTTCTTTCAGCGATTGGCTTTTAATGTCATCTATGCTTGCAAAACGACGGCCCTTTAAGGTTCTCTTTATTTTTGGGAATAGGAAAAAGTCAGACAGAG